TCATATCCTAGTAATATCTTAAATGATTCAATGTGGGTCTTTTTGTTTTGATAGTTAAGTAAAAAAAAATACAATAGATAGCTTATATTATTTACTAAGCCATGTATATTAAAACTAAATAGCTGTAAGGGTATGCTTACATGTTAACATACCTACTATACATTTATTTGTTTCACATTAAGTTTGTATTATTTGAAAACATAACTAAACCGTTTGATTTATTTTTATGCACTAAGGAATTTTAATACTCATACTTGAGTAAAACTGTAACTAACGTTTTAAAAACAGTGTACTTCATGAATGTTAATAAAAGAATCATATTTTAGCGCAGTGCGGCCTGGCTGTACTTATGATATCAGTTTTTAAATAGTCGACTGAAATAAATATACAACTAAAATATAGTTAAGTTTATCAGCATTCAAATGCTATACTTTTTTATGTCTCTATCGCTCTACTTCTTTTTTATCGACTTCTGAGTAGTTGAAATACAAAAGTACTGTTAGGTTTCCAATTGTTTAAAATCTATATAAAAAAGTTAATTGGTCGGTAATAAATTAATAAGTTAAGATTTACAAGTACTTATGTCTTATAATAAGTACGCTTTTTTTTATATAGTTTTATAAGTGTGATTTTGAATGTGTTTCCTAGAAAATATTAACACGCACGATACCAAAAGTTTCAGTAATTTTCATAATATGTCGATGAATTGTTTAAATACAGTTCTCCAATAATTGTTGTAACCACGTCTTGTGCTTGTGATCAAACAAACATGTTTTTTAAAATATTGTGTCTAGTTATTGTGTTGAATAAATTGCATTTGATAGATTGTAATTTTACAGGTAAACAGAAAGTGGTATTTTTAAGTAGTATAATATTAAGAGCATGTTTTCTCATATAAAACAATTATAATTTTCACAAAGGAAAATTGTTTGATTAGGTTTTATATATTTATTCAATCATTTTGAATTTTTTTAACTATTGCAACTCAAATGGCAGCATAATAATATATTTTTCTAGTTGAATATATTTAATAAAAAATTAAAAGGGCGGTTAATACATAAAAAACTATATTACCCGATAGATAAAAAACATACTACAAATGCTTATAAAATACTTTTTTGGTACCTATTGTTTTCAATTATTCTTTAATGGTTACTGAAAAAAACACATAATTAACTGACCATCGATAGTAATTTTAATGCTGCTTAGTAAAAAAATGATTAAATATTGTAATCAGGTTCTACATTTTTAAATTCCTGGTTCATTAAAGTAATGATTTAAAGTTCAAATCTTGTTTAATATTCCCAATATTTTAAAAGGGGTAATTTTAAGTTTTATCAAATGTACATTTCAATTTTAGCTTAAGGGCCTAACTTAAGAATCGTGGCTTTTGTAAATAGACAATATTTGTACATGAAAGTGATTTTGATAAATTTCGATCTTGTCATATAATTTTCTGGTTAATTTGTTGAAGCGTTTCAACAAGTTATAGTAATTTTTGTGAAGTAAATAGAGTTCAATAAAAAAATATAACGTTTCGTAACATAATCATAATTTGAAAAATTAATTTTTTGTTTAGTATAAGAAGAAAAATGTTCAATATCTGTAGAAAAGCTACTTTTAAATCTGTCTTAAAAGTTAAATTTTTTACATATTTTTTTTTTCATTTTGGTAATCAATAATCGAAGATCTATGTGGACTGTCGGAACATGGAAGTCTTCCTCTTGTGGAGGAACAAAAATTAAAAAGAGTAGATACAACAATATTATTTTACCTTTAACTAAAAACTATAATCTCACCATTGAAGTTAATTATTAATGGTTTACTATACAATATTACATTAACGACATTCCGTTTGAAATACTCAAAGAAAGTTTACAGTAATCATTAACTATAGCAGGTATTGCAAATATTCGATAGAAGCTATTAACGAGCTACCACGACGTTATTAGGACCACCATAGTTATGCATGTATGCATACGACAACAAAGAAAACCACTTACCTAATTGTTAAAAATCTTAAAATCACCGAAAAACGTTTTACTTGTTTACCGTTTGCACATATAATACCTACGTAAATATTATTATCGTTTCAGACGGAGGTCAAACATTTGTTTTTTATTATCATAAAACATTTTAGAATGTTGTCCCACTATTAAATATTGATGTTGTGAAACCAATTTTTTATTATTATAATATTGTGTTTGATCGTTTTAGCCTGGCTAAATTATGTGGTACCTAATACCTATAAGTACCCGTCCGTGATATCATACCAGTTTAATCAAATTTGACCTAACCTATTCGTTTATTGGGGTTTACTCTTTCACGGTCAGCAAGTTGCAAGAAAATTAATATTCGTTTATTAGTTTTCCTTATAATAACTCTGAATAAATAAGTGAGCTGTACAAATTCGTGATCACTAATATCCGTTTGAATTTCGGTGGGCGTAACAATAATTTTTGAGTACTTGATCTTTTTTGAAAAACAAGGAAATCGATTTTCTCATTTAAAAAATTATACATAATTTTCAATTAAAAAAAAACGTTTGACGGTTATTATTATAAACATCATTTGGAGTAAGCTGTGGAATAAAAAATATATATTTACCATATTGTGTCAAGCTCGGTGCTGAATTTTCTTTGTTTCATATAAATTTTATCACAAAAAAAAAATATATTTAAAACTTAACGCTTATTTACTGATTACAAAACGTTATCGGAATATGAAGATATAAGTTTAATAATTTACTTGCTAAGTTCAAGAACATATCTAGCGAAACGCTCTATTTATATTAAAAAATACAAATTCTGAATTTATTCACTATAAATAGCGATTTCTGTAGAATTACTCTAAGACCTATTTAGTAATTACTGCTATAAAGTACTGAATACAGAACTCATATTATCTGCGGTCATCTTTATATAATAGTTGTAGTCTGGGACCTCTATTAACCTTACAAGGAGACATATTATATTCTATTTACAAACTAGTTGTAAACACTTCCTCCAGCTATGAATGGTCTGTCGATTGATTAAAAGGTAGTATAATCTTAATCTTTGATGACCTTGTTGAAGGTTGGTTGCAATGTGCGAATTCCAGTTGTGTTTACTGTTAAGTATGCCTTTTAAGTATCATAATGTTAGCGTCCAAGGTATGCTATGGACTTGCCATCTAGCTCTCGATCCGAACTGCTGAACGTTTTGCTGGGTTTAATACTATTCTTAATTTTTTTTTTTTTGATAATATACCTTATGTTTGTATATTCAAAGAATATTTTTTTCATATAAATGTATATACTACAATTGGTTGGTAAAATAAGCATATAAATGGGTTTCATGTTCTTTGCTGGTTTTGTTTATGCCTATAGACATTTTTTCGAAAGGTAATTGCAGTGATTATACTAAACGAGCGTTTGTATGTCTGAACGTTTGCGTTTTAGTTGCAGTTACGATGGACGGCAAACGTTTAGTTTAGACTATTACCTTATGTACAGTCGATATCGTGTCCTCTATTACCCAACCACAAAGGTAATGTCTGTAATATTGTTTAAAAAAAAAATGGCACCCGCCGTTAAATTTTGCCCAAATGAGTCTGTAAAATAATTGGCAGACGACGCGTTATAATGATAATAATAGAGTGATGCAAGTACACATGCAAGTTACATAATTATTAATTGTATTCATGATTATCTGGTCCGCTCCGTTACAGGGCGATATTGAACGCGGTCGTATGTCGTCTGGCCAGCAAGAGTTGCTTGCGGTTTTGAAAAAATACTCGTATCAAACAGGTTTTTGTGTTTGGTCCATCGATAAATGACTTTGAAAAAAAAATATATACATAGGTATTTAAGTAGATAAACATAAAATTATTAACGAGTACTTATAACATCTATATATTATTCGAGAATCACATGTTTAGAATAATGAAGAATTAGATACCTACCTGTAGAGTAATTTAGTCAGAGCTATTTAATACTGTTGTGTTTTCTGTTGTATTCATTAAACGGTCACACAATAGCCTTTTGCGATGACCACATCGCTGCAAAGTGCTGTTGCAATATCACAAGCATAACATAATATTCGAACTATACATTACCGTTAGTAGGTTTCCAACGTTAATATACTTAAATTATAATGGGTTTTTTTTTGTTTGATGTCCTATAATTTAGGAGTGTTCATATTATAATATGTGTGCGCTGTGCAATACAGCATAGTTGATTAATGTATACAGCCTGATTTTTATTAACCATTAAAACGTTTATCGCCCAAAACATTGTTGCTAATTTTTCGAGAATATCAGAGTATATCGATAAACAATAGGTATTGATTGATTTAAATAAATGTTCTGTTACTAACTCAATTATGGTATCATTTATAAAATATTTAAATAAACTTTTAACCATAAAAATAATACTTGTATATAAACATTATAAACATTATTATAAATAATAATGTGTATACTTATTTCGGCAGCATAGTAACCATCTTCAACGCACACGAAAGACTGAGTGTAGAGTATTATTTTTGAGGGGGTTTATTTAAATATTTTATAATAAACAAGTGTTGCTTAAGTTTTTTCTAGATGGTATCATTTACTTTTTTTTTTGTTATATTCAAATTCACATAGAAAAAAATCTTTATGTACACTAACTATGTAAATACCGAATAACAATTATTGAAATAATAAATTGTTAATTTGTTAGCTAAACTGCATTTGAAAAAATTGACTAACATAAAATTGAAGGTTCGATCCGAATAACGCGCTATTGACCACTTTGGTCAGTTTTGGTTGTTTTTTTTTTGGAAGTGGGGGGGGGGGATATTAAGCTACAAACTAATGTAAACCAGAATTTCCTTATCACCCATAATCATCGTGCAATAAGTGTGGGAAACCCAACAAACCAATTGATAATTTTTTTTTCGACGTTATTCAGATCGAATCTTCGATTTTTTTATTATTGTAACAGTTTTTTTAATGTTTTTGTGTTTGTAATTTTCCAGGACAAAAGACAAAAGCCGAGTTGCACTCGAGTACAGTGCAAAAATTCATGTTCTCCAATCCACCTGTGGCTCTATTAAACAGTACCAACGAGTTATGCAAGAAGCACAGCCACATCTATTTGAGCGAACTCGAAAAGTTGACATTGTGGGCTTTAAAAAGTAAGTGCGCGGCAAAGGTCAGACTATAATAATCTAGTTGTTCTTTGAAAATACTTCAAGTCACGTTATAGAAATTAAATAGGAGGTACACACAAAAAACTGTATTGTTTGAAATGTTTCACAATTTACCGTTAACCCCATATACTGGTTTATTACTGCAGTTATAGGCAAAGGGCTAACGACCAAACGGCGGTAATGACACGGTACAATACGTTTTGCTTTTGTGTTAAAAAATTAATGAGCCGTTATAAATACCGCATTGAACATAAACAACTTACGAGTATTAAAACCACTAGGTATATTATATTGACAACATCATATCTTATATTGAAATTTTATTAAGCATATGTATAGAAATTTATTAAAACTCATTAAAATTGAGTTTATGATCTAAAAAGTTGTTTTTTTCGTGTTGCCCGAAATTTGAGCATTTTTTTCAGTAAGTTGCGATTATTTTACACAAGAATCTGATTTTTAATAAATATTTTTTGATGGTCGAAAATACTATAAGAAAACGATAAAAAAAAGAGGTGTCAAGGGTAAAACTCAAAATACTTTTTACGACTGTTTGGCCAAAATAATCGGAAAAAAAAATGTTTAACAACTTTAAAATATTTCTTTCATCATAACAGACATACAGTGTGATTTTCAAAATAAAATCGGCGGGGGTCGACCCAAACGTTTTACTATATTTAGCGTTTTTACCCATATATATATATATATATATATATAATTTGTTTTACTCAAATACAATTTTAATCAAATCATTTTTTATTTCAGTAAATTATAAACAAATATTTTTGAATAAAAATTATTAAAATCTCTAAATTTAATAATTTTTTAGATAAAATCTTAATTAAATCAACTGCTACTCTGCTTAAACCACAGGTTAACCAGATAAATTATTTATCCACAATAGCCTAGATTTTGTTCAATGTACAACTAAAAAGACAAAACCTAACGGTAGGCGTTCAAATTAAAAAGTTTGTACTTATTACAAAAAAAACAGCTATAATAATTCTTTTACACGTTTTCGAAATTTTCAAACTCTATTTCTAAAGTTGTTTTGGGAAAAAATAATTTAGTTCCATTAAATATTGAATTATTATCTAATATTTTAAAGAAAATTAAGAAATATTATTGGGCTATTTGAAAACACAGTAAAGGACTATATCATGGATTTATAAAACAATTATAATAATTTGTACATATTTTTATGATCTCCAAAAATATGTTGTCTAATAAAGGTTAATGTTATGTCATCTCGCTATTTCCTACCATATAATTTTGCTAATTGGATATTTAGTTCTATTTAGGTTAAATTTTTTTTGTCAACTGACATTTTGTATACTAGGTCTTACTACCTTATTTTGTATACTACTAATACTATTTGATAGTTTATACGTATTGTGTTTTTAGTATAAATTAAAAAAACAATAACTACATGGCCAAGGTAGAGGTGGGTGGTTTTAGCCCATTTAGCTCTCTTACGTACTCTACTGAGACTTAATTTAAATTGATAGAAAAAACATAAACCGATCGACTCTATTAAGAAATTGGTATAGTGCGAGATAACATCATCATATCGAGTTAAAATATGTGTTGAGATCAACCACTTGTACAAACTCACCGGACAAGAGAAATTATGAACACAAATATATAAAATATAAATTTGCCATGTCAGAAAAATAAACATTAGGCGCCTAATAACGCGTCGACCTCATTAGAGAGCGCATTGTACGTTTAAAATGCAATAATTGTCACGTTCACTTTAACTGTGAGTGTTTCCCTTAAAAAGTGCGTGGTCGAAGAGTGACAAAAAAAAAATCAGTTGCGTAAACCGTCATAATTTTATGGTAGTCCAAAAACATTTCCATTTAAGCTTTTGTTACGACAAGGCCTGAGTATGGTCATTAGTTTATTATATTGAATACTAAGACTTGTACATATAACAATAACTAAATACCATTGAGTATTGTTTCTCGGGTGGATTGCAATTAATAAATGAAGTTTTTCTATCCGTTAAAAATATGTCTATTGTTTTTTTTTTACAATTTTCCGGAAATTTATTGTGCAACGCATCCGTGTTAAGTTCGGTATTTACCATTGTCCGGTTGAAAAAATTTCAATGTCAAGGACTAAATCGTTATGCTAGCACTTAAAATAAACTATTCTGTTATATGGTTTGCCAAGATGATCAATGGGTCCACAGACCCTATTGTGCGGAATGAGGTCACGATTAATTTTACTATCAAATATCAATGGTGAGTGTACAACGGTTAAAGTAACGCCACTAAAACTACATACCATAAAACACTACTATTATTTTTATTAATTATTACTATTATTAATACAAAAATTAACTAATAGTAAAAATGTAAACCCTCAAGGCATTAGTGTAAAACTACGTTTATGAAAATGTAATTTCACTGTACATTTTTTGTAACCACATCCTTCACTCGTTATATCCTAATCCCTCTCTTCTAGTTTGGACTTTTGACGGTCCATTGCTTTTTCCTCTATGAATAGATACAGAAATGATCTGTATTTTATTAAAGTTAATTATTAATTCAAACTATTCGATATCAAAAAGACGCAAATAAAAAAAATATATTTTATGGCCTATGAGTGTCCAAAACTATTTATACCTACCCACTCGATCCGGTCAAATTTGATGGTAATAATAATAATGGGCTTGTTAATAATTGCAGATGAGTCTGATGATTTCATTGTTTTTATCGTATAACCATCAACATTTATTTAAATCGACAGCTGTTGTTTTGTTTATCTCGCAAGATATTATTATTATTATTACCTACCTCACGATTTTCTGCACAACGCCTTATTCACTATTAACTTAAACGGAGATTAACTATGTACGTAGGTAGGTGCCATAGTCAATTTCAATAGTTATTAATAAACGCTATTTAAAAAATTATTCTCATATTGGTCAATAATTTAATTGGGTTTTCCGTTGTTGTTGTTTTTTTTTTAAGTTATTTCTATATCCAAATCGAGGTAAGCAAAACGTGACTTAGGTCTATTCGAGGTCTCCATAATATGTGAACGATAATACATAAAATATATTGTTTAACATCCACACATCTCGCAAGAGATGAACAGAATGGCGCCCTTCGACAGAGTATCCGCAAATTTTTTCCAAACCAAAATAGGTAATGCGAGAACTTTATACTTGCATTGTTATCAGAATGATGTGAAAACGGTATAAAAATCCTTGAAACAAATCGTTTTTTACTGAGCTGGCCAAAATGAATTCCAAATGTTGACTACAAATGTTTAAGTATTTTATAGAACTTATTTATATAATAAACCTCACAAACACTGGGCAATAGACATCTTTATTGGTTACTTACTATGCATTTATATGAAGTATTTGTGTTTGTGGATGTCAGTGTGGCTTGGTTGAGTGCATGTATAGGCAGACATAGGGAGGGGGATATAATAAGGGGGACTATTTCTGTAGCCTCCTATAATTGTTTTATGTATATCTGAAGCAATGAATTAAATATGAAGAATGTTTGGTGCGCAAAAATAAAATTAACTAAAACATTTAATTATATGCCCTCAAAAAGAATGTACTGTGCAAAGAAAATCGTTTTATTTAATGTAAATTATAATTTCAAAAATAATTGCGAACAACCCAAATTTAACAAGAACAAAAAGAATTTTTATTGAAAAAATTGAAAGTTCAAACTCTTAGGTGTGCTTGAATCACTCAAACATCTTTTCATGTTAGTTTATGATGAAGGCCTTCGTTTAATCTTGGCTTGTCTGCGCTTTGACATTAATATATGTTTTATTGTTGTTTCACAGTGTACGATTCGACGGCCAAAATACCGTCAGGCATTCTAAACGGAAACATCAATCAGTTTGGAGACTTCGACCAGTGTTTGAACGCCAACGACCAAAAGTTAGGCATTCAAGGACAGTACTGTTTGACGTACGTGGAGATGAACGTGATAGCCGAAAACAACGAAAAACTGAAGACTATTTTGAAGTTGATGCACTCACATTCAGCTTTTCGCAGTCGGTTGGAAGATGTGAGTCATACAAAATCGTAGTTAATCCATTTTGGGTCAGCATTAAAAGAAATCTGAAAATTGAATAAATAAATATAATATGACTAGTCTACTTTATACGAGCAGAACCGCGTTAAGCAACAGGTCTGAACAAATAATAATGAATTAATTAGTTTTTTTTATCCGTTTACTTAGGGATTACAATTATGTGGTTGTTTGCATAACTACACTCAACCAGTTTTAATTGAGCAGTTGTTTTCAAATATATACCTGCTACAGGTGCCGAGTGGTTTCAAATGCCTAATAAGGCTATGTAATCATTTGTCAAACTTATCCACCGACAACTGCAAAAAAACGACAGTTAATGAACTAGACATATTAATATAAAGTCGAATAAATGAATACAATCTTATGAAATAGTATAATTATGTTTTCAAAATACTAAAAGATTCGTGATGAAACACAGTTCATTTTTTTTCATTTTAATTATTCATAGTACATGAACACAGTTAATTATTGTATTATTAAAAAAAAAAAAAATGAAATGGTATTTTTTTTTTTCTACAAGCTTGTGCGATTAATATTAAATATTTTGTCCACGTGTGTTTTCAAACGTTTAGGCCATTCGTTTATGTCTCGTGGAATACTAATACCTACAACAATAAAATAAATACTAAAAATAAGCCTTTTTGATCCTTTAAATATCATTAGGTGTTTTATAGTACTTTGGAGATTTTTAAGTAAAGGTTTTTTTTTATAATATTATGCTATAGCGCGTTAGGGATTTCTGTCGTTATAATTTATGGCTGATGATAAAAGAATAGTAAGACAGTTTATCATCCCTCTATACATTGTCTCAGCTCAGTGCACTGTACTCAAACTGCTCTTTTTTTTGCCCCTTTCTATTTAAAAATCATATACACAATACTACTGAGCTATCCTTATAAAATCTCTTACTTGAATTTATCTATAATTAACTATTATGTAGTATTAAGTTAACTCTTACTCCGGTATTACAAAACATTATAATAATAAAAATAATACAATATTCCGAAAACCGTGGGATAAAGAATGACAGTACTTTTTTATCATAAAATATAAAACACTCTAATTAATTTATATTATATAAGAATTCAATACTAATAACTGAACGTTTAAAGGGTAAACCCGTACACTAATGCGCGTTAACTTAATGCATATTAAGTTAATACGCATTAGCGATTGCATATAATCGTAGAATATGTGCATAATGTGCAGATGAAGAAACTTATTAGATTTCATATCATTATATTTAATATGCTAATTAAATAAAATAAAACGAAATTTAAGGAAAATTTACCAATTATTACATTTATTTTTCCAAGTTCTAAGATCAGAATAAATTGATAAGATGTAATATGCGTTTCGGTGAAGTAACTGCGCCGTTCTGAAGGGCTTTTTAAAGTTTTATTTACTTTTCCGTAAAAATGAATCATTTGGAGCGTTACTTTCCGTTATGGTCACTGAACATTTTAAGAACGGATTGCAAAATATTTTGACATTGATGGTTTCGAATTAGTCACGTGCAATGCGGTAACTCCATTGTTTTACAAGACGGCGGGCGCGGTTAGAGCGTCACTCTAAACGTGATAATGTTATATTATGTCAATGTCAAGGGATGTCGTTTGACATACAATCGATTTTAATTACAGTGAAAAGAAGATTAATCGTTTTCGGAGAGTGACTTTGTAAAATCGCCCTTTTTATAGGGCACTAAAAACTAGGTACTGTAATTAAGATGTGCCGTTAGGAGTATTATTAAATATTTTTCTACATTATACGGCCAAGAACTTTTCGATTACATACTTCCCGTCATGTTGACGTATCACAATCTATGTACTTACATTCATTGATAGTTTTCTGCTAATGGTGTCCCGATTCTAATTGTATGCCGAGTTTTAATTCGATAAATGATATTTACAGCCGGGCCATCGAGTCCCTAGATTTTCCACTATCAACTGGGCCATCTGCACGCCTGCCAGTTGTTCACCATCTGAAATTGAACGAGAAATGCATTCCATATTGTCCAAGTACGTGGACACCAATGAAATCAGATTACGTCTCAAGGTGGATCCTGAGATGTGTCAGACCCTAAGGAAGTCTTTCGTTCCCACGATGGGATCTCTAATGGCCATGTAAGTAAAATATATGTACAAAAAAACTACTTGTGATTTAGAATTTCAGTTAAAAGAAAATACATAGAGGTGAGTAAGAATGGTAATTTTGAATATTCCTGCAGAAAGAGCTATCAAGTAACTTCAAAATCACATAGTTAACAAAGTGCGCTCCATCTCTTTGAAAATGCCAACTTTTTTATAACTTTTCTACATCCCCGTATTCGTTATCGGTAAAATGTTTTCAAAATATTTGCATATATATATATATATATATATTCTATTTATTTATTATTTGCATGATAACGTTGATGCAGTGAATTCCCACCGACTGAGTAACGAAGGCTGTCTGTATTATACTCTTACAAGCTTTGTTTGTTTTATTAATTTTTTTCCCCAATACAAAACAGGTCATTGTGCATAATACACTATTATAATACATAGAATTATAATAACAATAATCATACAGTTACTTTTACAAAAAACGTCTCCTAATAACAGTGATGATTACTGTTTTGTTTTTTTTTTTGGTATGGTAATATTAGTATCACATACAGGGCGCTAGCAAAATAATTACAAAAATTATAAACTTATTTTAATATTTTTCCAATGGTTAATGATTGTTTGAAGTTTGAACCTGTAAGCTAAAAGTAAAAATGAAGCACAATACAACACTATAATTATAAGTTTTGAAAAGTGAGCTCGGCCATCAAAATTTCAGAAACGATTTAGGGGCTAATACTAGTATAACAGGTTTCTAGAAGAAAAGAGGTGGAGGAGATTTCAAGACAGATCTAATATAGAGTTAAAATATAAATTTTAAAAAATGTGCATGGTTATCGATTTGTGTGTTTAACGATGTACGCTTATTTGTGTGTGTTTAAGTATTCAAAACATATTAACTCAACTGATGGTCATTTATGTCAACATGACTTGACGAAAGCCATTAGTATACAGCTAGTCTCAACACAAACATTAGGAAAGGTCTAAGAATGCAGTTTTATAATTTGTATGATTAAAATAATAATACCATCTTACGTGTACTGAACCCTATACTTTAACCTAAAAAAACAGTTATCTTTCAAGGTTTCCTTCTCAGTTTTTAATAATATAATTATAATAATTATATTAATTATAAGATGCAATTTTGAAATAATTATTTTGTTTCCTGATGCGCGATACGATTATTTTTTATTGTAATATGTAGAATGATAATAACAATAATCATACAGGTATTACGATAATGATTGATTTTTTTTGATAATTTATGTATTTTGTTTTAAATTGTAACTTAATTTATAAACAGCTACAAGTAACACGCTTTTAGAAGAAGTTAATAGTATATTTTTATGGTTAACGAAAATACATTATACACACGTACAGAATTATAGCCGCTGTACTAGTGCGTCAAAGACATGGGTCAATTAATTTAATATTTACTGAAATCTCCATCCACTGTGTTCTTCATGGCGGAGGCCAGAGAACCCAAATTGGGTGGAGGGCCTTACAAAAACTCAAGAAAAGCTGAATTTTGACCTAAGTAAATGAATAATGTTTGTATTTGTTTTGTTCTTTTTTAGATCAGCGTTTGGTGTATTGTTCGCCATCATAATATTGTCTTCGGCGTTAGACGTTTATACGATAACGTTTTTAAATTCCAAAAGTAAGTTTTTCAATACCTAATTTTTTTTTTTATGTAAAGTCGCTGCGACATAACCTCTCTGGTACAACCTATATTCTAGCTACGTTTTTTTCTATGCTTTCAGGTAATTTATCAAAGCTGCTGTATTGTTTTTCACTGAAAAGAAATTTAAATCAACTGTTCAGCTTGACAGAATCGCCGGACGCTATACAGTCAATACACGGCATAAGGGCCTTGAACGCTTTCATGCTGTTGGCGTCGCACAAGTCTATGGCTATGTTCTTCAACCCCTACTCCAACAGAACTTACATGACTGAGGTAAGTTTACACCGTTCTAAACTGATTTAATATAGGTTATACCAAAGATACTAAAATTAATGTAGTTTATACCATAGTTAATATTCAAAATATGTCATACCCAGTGTACCATGTAAATGATGTGTAACGGTCGTATAAGTTATAGCATTGACATTTGATAAGCTAGTTCTATATGGCTATATTATACAGTATAGCTTGTGAGACGTGAATGACATCAAGTGTTATAAAATTTGTTTTTGAACAACATCTCATAACTCTGATTCCTGGGGTTGCTCAATTAGTAATACTATATAGTCTACAGATGATCATTTTATCGTGAACCATTCAATACCTCACTTTTGAACAACTACTCTTATATAACTTATACTAGTTTAAAAGTTATGATGGGCGGGGAAGTGCAGTTGGAAATACTCGCAGATAAAAATAATACTACACTCCACCTTTCATCCTGCCCTAAACTTGAAACTTCAATAACTTCAAAAATAGTTATCCGAAACTGGTTATATCGGCCAAATTTTTTAGTACGTCACTCTCAATTTTAAAAGTCAATGAATTGTAAGCGTTACCGCTTAACTTTTAAAAGTTGCTTTCCAAATAACCAAGTTGAGAGGTGTAAAAACAAACAAAATTGAAATAACATTGTATAAAAACATTATAAAAAAAAACTAAATTTCTTATTAAACTCGATGAGATATTAAGTGGTTCACGATATAATGATCGCTCTGTATATAATTTATATAGATCAAAACCAATTTTTTGAATTTTTTTCAATTATTTTGGTCATTGTCGTAAAAAGTATATTTAGTTTTTTCTTGACACTTATCATTTTTTTATAGTACCTTCAGCTATCAAAAAAAAAACTAATTTTTAATATTTTTTTTTTTTTGATAGCCGAAAGTACTATAAAAAAATTATAAAAATGAGGTGTCAAGGCAAAAACTCAAAATAATTTTTACGACCATGGCCAAAATAAATTGAAAAAGAAATCCAAAATAAAATTGTAAAGATTTCTGTCATCATAACAGTCATGCAGTGTAATTTTCAAAAAAATCCGCGGGGGTCGCTCAAAACTTTCGTTTGTATTTTGCGTTTTGACCCAAATATGCGATTTAATATGCATATTTATTTGCATGAATCTAGTCTCAGAACTAATGTAAAATTTGTAGTTTTTTTTTTTTAACCCAGAATAATATATGAAAATTCTAATACTTGTTTTACAATTTATTTACAATTTTAAAGGTGATAAAAAACTATTTGACGTGCTAGAAAAAATCTGAGGCCTTATTCGGATACATAGAAAAAAAAAGTCCTTTATAACAAACATATTATATACGTTTATATAAATATTGTTTACAAAAAAATTATGAATTTACCGTTTAATTATTACCGTGTAATTTTTAAAATGAGATTTTGCGCACAATTGCGTACTTAAATCTAGGTATTAGAAATCTCCTTATAGAATCACGGTCTTATTGTGACCATGCTGAACTTAGAAAACTATTTCCATGTATTCGTGATAGATAGATAGACAATATAACATATGAACGATTGGATGATCTTTATAACATAATATTAATGTCAAGAATAACAGCTTAAAACCGGGCCAGAAATCTATAAAAATGGCATGGTTTATTTTGCATTATTGTAGTAGGTATAACGGTGTAGTCCTTACTAATATTATGATAATACAAATTATTATAGTAAATGTATTGTTTTTCTTTAAACTGCTATATTGGACGCCCCATAATGAAGGTACGCTATTTTTAAACTTCTTCTCTTCGCATCATTAACATTATTGATTTGCATATACGGTTGTTGGGCCCAAACTCTAAATGGTTTATCCATCACGGTTATGCCCATAATTTCTGTATTTACCGCTTAATTATAAACACACCCAACAGCGCATCCTTGGTTTTCTGAACGCTAAATTTTTAATAATAGGTACCCAGTATAATACAATATACTTAGGTAGATGCATTAGGCGCATCCTACGACGCGACGTGGACCCGATGGATAAGTATCAGTAAAATACATGTACTATGTGTTTTGGAAAAACGCATGTCGTCATTTAAAAAAATTTAAAAAACCTAACCTATTCTCAAAAATAAATGTATTCAAACGTTAACCTTGACGTTTTCAATTTATAAGATGTTATCGTAACATAGGCTAGCTAGTAACAGACAATAAAGATTATATTATACGAGTATATTATGTATAAATTATTATTTAAGCGATTGTACGTTCTTAGCCAAGCAGGCTTAACCGGAAACGACATACATGTTTTATAGTCGATAAGTATATTTTGTGTATAGTTGTAAACCTTGCAAGTTGTTTGTATACTCGTGTTAAAACTGGACTATTCCGTGTTGAATAAACATTTTGTGTACATTATATTATTACTGTACAATGCATTATTAAATTACAAGTAAATCCCATCGATTTGATAAACACGAGTCCTCGAATCTTTGCTTGCTAGTGTTTACATGCTTCTGGAGTCTTAAAATAATTCCTAAGAATAATTAGGTGGTATTCTTTTTTTAGTTTGATAAATTGTATTTTTACCAAATATACATGCATCTTAAGGTTAAGATCCTATATTCTTACCTTTCAATTAATAGTATGCAACATGCCACGAATATTGTTTTTTCATTCATAAATCTTTATTTTAAAGTTATAACTTTACAAAAGAAAACCCTATTTCCTCATCTCAAAAAATGTCGGAAAATATTATCAATATATCCTTAAATATAGCTTGTTTGATATTTGCTGGGGCGGGCAATTAATAAATAAACACCGAATATCTGAGAAATAGTGACCGATGGAAAAGTAAGGATAGCCTAGTTTGGGTGGTCTACTTATATGGGACAGGGCAGAAAAAACTATACCACTGTAAGCACACATTTAAAAAAATAGTTAAAAAATAATTTTTAAAAGAAAACTATCATATTATATTAATTTCTAACAAATTACGTTTCCGCATCATGCAACATGCCACCATTAATTTAGCTAATTCCATGAGTGGTACTGAGGTAGATTTACCTACTATTGTAGAAAAAAATTGATATGCATCAATATTACTATTATTATTTTAAACCTTATTTAAAATATGAATAAACCAATGAGTAAGCTTTTAAATTTCAGTATAGAATTCTCTTCCGATTTTTCGATCATTAATTTCAAAAAAACTTTAGTATATACATAAATTAAAAAATTAAAATGTCTTCAAATGCTTCTAATATTTGTCTACGAAATTATGGAGTGTGACGACTCTAGTATCTAAGAGTTCGCTTATTAACTTAATATTCAATAATTAATACTTAATTAAAAAAAAAACCCGATAGGCAAATAACATATAACTATTTTTTGTTTATTATGGTTCATTTGATTTTGACAGGTTTTTTATAGAAAAAAATGTATGTTAATATATAAAATGGTTTGAAAACCAGAAAAGCACTAAATCAATAAAGATTTAAAAATCCTAAAACTGAGTCGTTTCTTTGTTAAGTCTGTATTTTTCCCTCATTACAGCGTTAAGCTTTTGTTATTATTACTTTTTATTACTACACACAACGGGCATATTGTCATTTCGCTAATTGATAATAAATATTCAACATTTTGTTGTTTTTTCAGTATTTTTTTAAAGTGTTAACACATTTGGTGTGGTAATTTTTTCCTCTGACGACCGAACCCGACTGACCGTAACATAGTGTAGCCATGCGTGATTCGGTTAATGGTTATTTTATAATTAAATATATTATTCAGACTCATTCTAATAAAAAATATGATATAATATGTATTTATGCCTTGTACAGTTTTACGTCATAGGAATAAATGAAATAATATTAAGCGTAACTGGCAGTATATATATATATATATACTCTAAATGCGGTTAGAAATATTTTTTTAATTTTGCAGATCAGGACGTAAACACGTCAAACAAATAAATGTACTATAATTCTTCGGCTTATCCCACACCATTTTAGGGTCGGTCTACCATATCCGATTTGTTCACTCTTATCTGTTAGTCGACATCTCTACGTATAATATAATTTATGTTTTAATAAGAACAACTAAGTTTAGTTTAAGTTCTAAGTTAAGATTTTGCGAACATTTCTTATAGGTACTTTACTCCTTGATAAATAGATGGCGTGGCATTATCTTAACTCTATCTAATTAATTATTCTATAAGTAAACAAATATAGTATAATGTATATAGGTAATTATTTTAGTTTGCAAACACAGAAAATTGAAAATAAAAAATTGGGAAAAAATATTTTGAACAAACGGGGTACTTAAATACAATTACTTATGCATTTCATAACCTAAACTACAACAATAACAATTTAATTTTTATACAATTACTGGTTATGCGAGCATTATTTTCGTTAGCTTGTGGTGCACCATATTGATATTATAGTATCTACTAAGAGACAATATTTTTCGGCTCACGTTATAGTACTATTATATCTTAATTATATATTAATTATTTGTAATATGTTTCAGTATCTAGGCAAACCATGGACGGTCATAGCACGAGCAGCAAGTCTGTACACGGATCCGTTTATATTCATGAGCGGAATACTGACGTCCATTACGTTTTTAAGGCATTTAGACCGAAAAGGAAAAATCGATTTGACCACCGAATTCCTATCCAGATATATAAGGTATGTATTTAGTACGTTAATAACCAATAACAGCTGTAAACTCGGTGTATGCGGTAATAAAGTAAAATATAGTATATATTATGTACTCGCATTGCATCAGTATAATCATTTGAATAAACCTATTAGTTCAGCTATTTGTGCGACAAGGTAATTTTATTTCTAAATCAAAACTGTCGTCGACGACATTGGCCGAGTACAAAAATTGATAGTAATTGCTCACAGCAGACATAACGTTCATCTGACAGGTAATTTTTAATAACGAATTTGCATGAACGTTCGGGAACTTGGCATTTTCGATCTTGTGTTAAAACATAATAAATGAAAACACGGACTAAAGAACAAAATATAATAAATCAGTCACTGACGTTAGTACATAACATAGTCATACTTGGCTCCTTCAAATAAATCCGTATAAGACATTAACCCCAACTCGGCATGGTACATACCCATATGACTTCACCTCTAGCCAAAAATTCCTGTAAACATTTAAGTCATAATTATTCATACTTAAGTGTGGCCTACGGGTATTAAAACACATTTTCTTTAGATGTGATTTCAAGTTTATTCGTAAAACATAACTGGTAGATTTATTATCAATAACAAACAAATTATTCATCAATTAATTTCGATAATTAATAGTTATTTTGATACCGAAGTAAAATATTGTAAATAATTATGAAAAACTTTATTATTAAAAACGACAAAGTAAAAGTACGAAGGAGCGAAAACTTGTGTTAAGAACGTGTGTGGTGAAATAGACGATATTATAGAAAAAATGGCTTAAGAATAAGTTGGTATAAAACAGAATTAGATAGTTTAATTTTAGCGTTGAGGAAGTTTCAGTAAGACGAGGTGAATTGGTTATGATTGGAGAGCAAGTGGTAAAGACAGTAGAGAAATGTAAGTATTTTGGGGTGAGTAAATATGCTTACCTATGGTTACCTATGCTAGAAAATGGTTGAATTGAAGGTGTGTTGATAATTTCATAGTTTTTGCTCGATCTTTCAACGAGTAATTCACCTATAATTTGTATTGTTAATACTTACAGGTTGGTGCCGACGATGGGAGCCATCATATTGTTTTGTACTTTGATACTGCCTAACTTGGGTTCTGGACCTCAGTGGAATCTCGTGGTAAAACAGCATGCTGACATTTGTCAACAACACTGGTGGAAAAATTTCTTGTTCATCCACAACTACTTCGGTTTTAAGAACGTGGTAATTATTTTGCATTGGATTTCAATTAGTAGCTAAAAAAAACATTGTACACTCGATCACACCGACTTAGGACATCGAAAAAAGGCAAAGGTGCACCAATTAAGATGTGCATCAATAGTCAGTTCTTATCCTTATACAGAGTGTTCCGGTATCGGTCCATAGTAATATATGGATGGACATCAGTGAGGTGTACATACTAGCCCCTCGTTGTCCGTTTTCGGTTATCTCAAAAATGTAAGACTTAAACTATTTTTTTAAGTTCAGAGCCGAAAGAGGCTGAAAATGATGTGACCCTCTTTTAATGTGAGGATTTTGCACCGGTTACAAAAATACACTTAACATATTTTTTAACTTATTATTTTCGGACTTACGAGGTTGTCTATATCATTTTTGTGGCAATCAATAACGGACAACGAGGGCTTATTTGTACACCTCACTGATGTCCACCAATATATTACTATGGTTCAATGCTGGAACACCCAGTATAGTTAACAATAAACAAAGCCATTGCCAATCTTTGGACTGGCAGTCCTTATTTTAATGTTTGAGTTTATTCCACAAGCCCCTCAGACAAATTTATCTTGTTTTTTTCTTCACAACCTTGCTACTCGTTCGTGTGAGTGTAATGTTTTCTGCTACAAGAAAAACTTTTAATGTATATTTCTGTAGTGTTTGTCGCACACGCATCACATTGCTATCGATTCGCAACTGTTCGCCATCTCTCCCCTGTTGGTGTGGGCCTTATGGAAATGGCCGAGGAAGTGCACTGTTGTGTTGCTGACGTTGGCTACAGCATCTACTGGACTCCGTTACTACGAGACTCTTACGAGGAAACTCAACTTGTTCATCAACTACGGTAGCTCGTAAGTACACCTTTAATGAAGAAAAAATACAAAATATACTTGATTGTTTTACTTCCTCTAATGATTGTGGTCAAATCCCTTTTCAGTATCCACGTCAAGCTTAAATGCATCCAATCGTTTTTTTGACATTTCCTTTTGCATTTAATATGTATACATCATATCCGTACTTCCTTTCTCTCTCTCTCTATTGTGAAAAATTATAATAATTAATAATTAATTGTTTATTATTCACTTTAGAGTCTCCCAAATGTACGACACGGCAGACTACTCGTACATATTACCCACCCATCGGCTCACGGTGTACATAATGGGCTTACTTCTCGGTAACTTCCTGAGGTGTTCCGGCAGAAGCTATCAAATAAAAAATGTAAGCATTACCATACCATATTGTTATATATAACAGAATTTAGACATAAACTGATTAGAGTTTAGACATGTCCATGACTAATCACCACCTTGTAAAATAACACCGGTATTAACTTATGACGTTCTATTTATTTTGACTCGTCAAAGATGATTGACGTTGTTGGTGTCGATTAATGACACCACATAATATTATGAATAGACTTTGATCTACAAGTCATTTTGGTACACTTATATGCAACTCTGTAATAATAATGGTTTAATTGTATTTCAGGTAAACTTGAAATTGGGCTGGATTGTCGCAGTCGGTTTCTTTTACCAAGCATTCATTCAACCGTCCAAGATGGGAGACATGAACTACGTTTATAACGCCGGAGACGCCGCCAACTACGCCGCTTTCGCACCTATTTGTTGGTGTATATTTTTCGGTTGGATCATCTTCGTCTCGCACACCGGTAACGGAGGTAAGGTTTACAATTTTTCTATTACCCTACTCGTCTTCTCGAAGCCTCAGACTTGTCCATCACAATAGCTGCTATCAGCTTTACATCAGATTTACTCAACACAACCGTTGTTTTCCTTTTTTAGGAATTGTGTCGTCGCTGTTCTCTTGGAAAGGATTCATCGTCTGCACTCGATTGTCTTACACTTTCTACCTGACTCAGTTTCCCGTATTCTTCTACAACGTGGGTAGACACCGAACGCCGCTCGAGTACAGTTTCGGATTGACGGTAAGATGAAATTATTATTATATATTCGGTGTCATAACCTCTTCGACGTCTCGTTTGTTTAGTACTCAATCCTTACGATTTCTTTGTTTTGAAAGATCCAACTACCGATCAACCTTGTCGATTAACCTCACTCAAATCGCTTTTCGTTTCCTTAGGTCGACCTCCAAGAACTGGTGACAATCGTTTTCGTGTCCATCTTACTCACGGTGGCTGTCGAGATGCCGTTCAACAACATTAAGACTGCGTTCGTTAAGAAAACGTAAAACCAAGTGCTCTCGCAAACGCACAACATATTATTTAAATTCTATTGTTTTGTAAATATTTACCTCGTTAAGGAGCCTTAATTTTAGTAATCACAGTCAGTGCACCATATATTATACCGCTGTGCTGTAAGAAAATGGTTTTGATTTTTTTGTCAAACACCTCAATGCGGATACAGCGGTGTTTTTTAATTTTATATACCTATTTATTAGATACCTACGATTATCATTAACAGTTGTTAATAATAATAAATATAATTGTTGTAATAAACAATGCGATAGTTCGTAGCTTGTTTTCGCAGAAAATTCGCAATAGAATAATCTAGTATCGTCATAACTATTATTTATCAAACAAACCAAAGCGAATCTAATGTGGCATGACTCTGTTTTTGTTAAAAATCTAATAATTAATTTTAAGTAACGCGTTTGTGATATTTTATTTCACAAACAAGGAAACGACTTCAAAATCAACGTGTACAGTATTGAGTAAATTATTTTATTTAATATTTATATACTATTTTGAAACCCCGTTATAAGGGTTTGTTAAAAAATCGTAATTAAATTATTTTATTTACCATACTTCGGATTATTGCCCACATGATATTATCTATACCTAATTATTGTATTTTTTTTTTGTGAATAATGTATTTTTATATAATGATATACACACCTATGTATAAATAAAATATATACCTAATCCTATAAGTGTCGTTTTGTATCCATCTCTTATTGAATTTCTCTATGGGCGGAGGACGATTCTTTTCTTGGTTTTTCTATACATACAAGTATTTTGACGTTATGCAGAAAAGTTAATTATGGCTTTAAGGAGTATTAATCACTGTTTATCGTTAGAAATAAAATACTATGTCTATACTATACCCTAAAAAAACATAAAATATTGATTATTCAACAAAGATTAACTGTACTACATTTAAAAATTATATCTATTGTTTGCCCCACGTAAAAAAAGAAATGCATTTTTTACTAGAAGATGCGCTTATTAGTTAAACGATTAAAAGTATGGATAACTCTTATAGAAACCAAAATGTTTCATCCTGATTTCTGAAAATTTTCTTTACGATTAGCCGCATATACCATAAGTACAGATACAATATAAGACAAGGTGAGAAATTTGTGTTGTTTAGTATAATAGAAATGAAGTCGGGGACATATTCAAACTGACCAATATCTGTTATAATAAAAATAAAAAAAGTTCTTTGGCCTCCTTCCAAGACCAACCGACCACAGTTTCATATGTAAATAGTGAATGGTTATTGTCTTAATCTAAAATAAAATTCTGTTATTTAGTTTCCGTACAAGACCGAGGAGTTTTTTCCAGTTTTTTAGTCGGCGGGTACAACTCTTTCAACAGCTGACATTTTGTTTTGCCGCGGTTTGCAAACGCCAATCCCATTTCTATGTCCTCCCTCAAGGCTACCACGGCCCTGTCCATCATGCACATCTCGTCGGCCGACATCTTTGGTAAACTTAGCACTTTCTTGACGCCTTGTTGGCCCAAAACTATCTGTGTCGACATGTACCTAACGCCGGGCAACACGTCGCACCGGATCAAAGCATTGATAGGCTCCTCCTCGTTTCCGGAAGTCATGCCCATCATGGCTTGGGCCAAATGATCGACAAACCGGAAAACGCCAACGTCGAAGGAGACACCGTCCTCGTGGATAATTTCCGCCGATTGAATCCGTTTGTACAGTTTACATAACTCGTCCTGAAAGCATACCACGGGGTGAATTCGAAGAATAAAAAAGGCTACAAAAGAAAAAAAAAAGAGAACTAGTGTTGAGACTTGTGTAGTATCTATTGTTTTGGGATCATGTTGGTTACTTGAGCTATAGAGGAGAGTGTTAGAGATAAATCATTCTAAAATAATTATAGAAGCCAAAAGAGGAACATAAACTAAATCGCCTGATACGTTTAAGAGTATAACATACGAATTAGAACTGTATGTATTTGGCACGAGTTATGCAAAATGGTAAAGCAAAATGAAAGAACAGATGTGATGTGCAATAAAAAGGCGTTATTAAATTAAAAATAAAATTACCTAAGACTATAGTGATACTTTCGATAATGTATGGAAGCGACTTTCAGTTGGACTTTGAAAAAAATAATGATAATGACAGACGGGAATGTTGCGATGGATGACTTGACTAGTTTGAATATAATTAGAAACGCCTACATAATAAAATAAAGGGCAATTTGAAAATTGTACCAAAGCTAAGACCGACGATAATTGTGAGCAGTAGCTCATTATAAAGGTAATTAGATAGTCGTGTCAGTAAGAGTTAACATAACTATTGACAATGACAATGTTCGACCCTTGTTGAAAGATGACAGTGTATGAAAACTATGGTAGCCAACCACACTAAAAGAGGATACGAAGAAAGAAAATGACTTTTTTTTAAGACAGTAAGTTACAAATGACATACTATATCTGTATGATAATATTGGATGAGTACTAGGATACCGGTGAATAATCTGCGAGCGGCAACACGCTGGACACGATGGGCACGCACGTTTCAGCGCTATTACCTCCAACGATGGGCACATTGACGGACTCTGGGCCGGCACACAGAACACGAGCCACTAGTGCATTTGCCTTGAGCACTTGGGTGGTCATAAGTCCAAACACCGTGCTTACGTCGAGCGTGCCGTTTCGTCGGTACACTTCAGATACCAGCGGTACCATTGAGTTGACAGGTCGCTCGGCTACCACCGTCCACGCTTCCGGTCTGTACTTGGATATGTCTTTAGCCAGCTTTTCCATTTGTTCAGCTTTCCGGCCGAACACATCGCACTTGTCACCCGTAGTGTCTCCGCAGTCGTCGGGACTCAATACTACAATATCTGCATACTGAAAACACAAAAGAAAAACTATATTCTTTATAAGTCATTGAAAAAGCTGCAACGGCAAAGACACAAACGGGCCGCGGCCACCGACCTTTGAAGATCAATACTCCTTCACCACCTCGATAATATAATAATGAGCAGTTGATGAAGTAGAATGACACTATAATTATACTACTATATATTATATTAACTAAACTATAATTCAAAATAATGAAGCAATTCAAGAATCTAAATGAGAAGGATGGAATGTAAAGAAAAAACGTATGTACCTATAAGGTTTTGTAGGGGCAACAAACTCAAATTTGTAATTTATTAAAGGTGGTTTGTAGTTGGTGCAGTTTGTTTAGGCGCGTTGAATAAGAGATAGAGGGCTGTCAAAAATGACATAAATGAGGCGTTGCGCAGCAGTCAGCATTCTCCACTTTTCATAAAAAATCAAGTTTGTGAAGTTTCTTGAATAATGGATTGTTATGGTCAATTGTCAGTTCCGTACCTACATAATAGTTTACCACGTAACTTCTGTAGACGTAGATAAAATAATTTAAAAACAGAGGTTCCGTTCATCAACTACAAAAAATATATAATTATACTGAAAGTAACATTTGTAATTTTTTTTTTTGTAATACTGATTTTTTATTTATTTTCCTATGATCATATTTAAATAAATATTTTTTATGTGTAAAGGAATAACAAAATATAATACTACTAATAATGATTAGCTAATGATAATAAAATAATAATGCGGCCCACAAATAATTTTGAGAATTCAGTCTTGGCCCTTTCAAAAATCTATTGATTACCACACTGTATTAGATATTAAAAAATAAATCTAGATACCACTTCTGTTTAAGCCTTTTAGCTGTCATTGATTGTGATCACAAATTGCATTTACATTGTTTACACGACTATAGGTCTCTTTCATAATTTGTATACATAGGTCGCCTACGTTTTGAAAGACCCGTACCAACTTTCTTGTTGGTCTACGAGCCAATCAACAGCAGCAGCTGTTCGAGCGACATTTAAGCTACAGCCCTTTGACAAATCCAAGACTTCTGAAACGCTAGCAGTTGACACGGTGTGACTTCAATCAACAAAGGTTGTATGTGTCGATTGGCAATTATAACTGTACGGTAATTGTGGACTTGTGGGTTAGAAAAGGAGAAAATCTACGTGGGAAAGTTTCACGGTAGAAGGGAGACAACGTAACAGCGGATGGAGAATGCTATGATGATCCGCTCGAGCCTAAGAAGACTACTTAGCTAGTGATCATACTTTTAACACGTCCCGGACGTAAAGGTCATCAGCGTACGCTCGGAAACGGCAAGCAGGATTCATGTCTTTCAGTGCATTCAACTTGCTGACGGTCTGGATATCACTGTACACAGCCAGGTCGCTCACGTATGGCGATCGTTGAAGACTTGTAGCCGCTTTCAGTCCCATCGGTCCTCTGACTCCAAACAGCGCCACTCCTATTTTCTTGGCCAGAGTGCATATTTTTATCGACTTGCTCATTCTCAAAGTAGTCGTGTAAGTGTATGGCGACCGCCGGGTCACGACCGACCAGTGTGTTTACCTTATACATCCTTCCTTCGCCGTTGTCTCCAAGTAACAATACACTACAACTGGTGGCCAACAACAATTAAATAATAATAATATTATTATCTACGTTAGAACTAGAACAGTATTGAGTTTGAGTAAACCTAATCTAACCAGACGTTCGGTTTAACGGTTAAACGACAATGATGATTTGTATTATAAAACCACGGGTCAATCGAGTCATATTATCCAATCATTTATTTACATTGTATATATTGTTTGATTGGGTCATACAATAGCGACTTCAAAGTAAGGTAGTAATTTATGCAATTATTGTATTTATCTATAGCATATGTATAACGTTGGGGGGCTGGAAAAATTCGCTGGTTATTCTAAGTTCCTCAGACTAATCTAAAAACATTTTCCAAACCGTTTTCTTTCAGAAAAAATAAAAAAATCTACTCATAAACTAGTAAACTGTAATTTTTAAATAACTTTAAACAATTTTAACCATAATATGTTCAGTTTTAAGGTTTCAGTAAATAAATCTAAACGGTCATATCATAATTGTTAGGTAGGTATTCAAATGCATAGAACAAAAAAATGTAATAGACACTTCAATATTTTACAGCCACGAGTTAGTAAACTCAAAAATAAAAAAATTCGGTTAACCAATTTTAAAATATTCAAATAGTGACACTTCTATAAAATTAATTAGATTTATTAAATGTAATAAGAAATAACTAAAAGAAATCGAAAAGTAACATTAAAAAATAAGTTATTGTGTTACTTACTGTTAATGTTCGTTGGAGTATATTTTATCAATAAATTTAAAAAGCGTTACAGATAACAATTTTACTAGAAAGAAAAACAACACAATTTACAGTTAAATGATATTACAATATTAAAATTTCTATATGAATTGTAGTTAAAAATTATAAAAGTATGTTATAATTGTATAAATATATTATTAGGTAATATCTAAAATTATTTTCATATAGTGATAGTTTATCAGGTAATAATAATAAAAAATTTAAATATCTATTGTACATTTTAGAGGCCATAAATATAAACGTGTATTTGATTAGATTTTTTTAATAAAAAAACTGAACACAGTGGAAAAACCATTTAGTTGGCAAACAAATTCTTAATAACTTATAAGTAAATATATATATATATTGGAATTTTGTATATTTTCAGACTTATATTATATACAGTATAAAGAACTATATATAGAACTAAGAATATGTAACAAATAGGGCCACAGCAGCAAAAGCGATAAGTATGAATCGTACATAGAACCAACTTAAAATAAAAAGAACAAAAAAATAAAAAAACAATATAATCAATATTTTCTATTGAAATGTTTAACACAAAAAATTAAAGTTAGATCGTCAGAGTAGGAATCCTTATTTAATAAAATTAAAAATTGTCAGAAATTGCTAGTTTAATAAGTATAAACCTGCTCGCGTTATTGAATAAAATTTAAATGTTTAATCCTCTCAAACACACAATCGCAATATACTTTGAAAACACTTCAGATATTTATAATATATGTGTAAACAATGATCATTTATTGATGAGTATAAAATAAAATTATACAATAAATATTTATGCCCTACGTGTACATATATATATTAAAATGTTCGGTACAATATTTTCTTTGATACATTAATTTATAAAAATTCAATAGTCTAATATAAACAAAAATATTTTTGCAATTACTTACAATATCCCATTATTAACGTAACTTTTGTGTCGGCCATCACTAAAAACCGTCTACCTACATACACCAACCTGTATCTATCATACTTTATACTTTTCACGACGTATTTGTTCTTTACATCAAGCACGTCATACCAAAGATTTGAAGTTTTATTTAACAACAAAAAATGTTTATTAATGAGATGTAAACAAGAAGTGTCTTGTATAGAAGACGCAATCGTCGTACCCTGAGCTGGATCGACGTCGCTTACAATGTATTTGTACAATACGTTTTGATTGACATAAAAAATATATTTGCCGTACGGGTCTAAATCAAAAGTACTACAAGACAAAAAAAATTTTGAATTGTTTTTTTTCCTTATAAATATAGTACGATGAGGCTTGTTTTGAATTCCAATAACGCTTTCGCTAACTTTGATTTCGTTGGCGGCACCAAACAAAGTGAATCCTTTACTAGACTCTTTTTCTATATCGTAGATCATAAGCATGTGTTTAACAATACTTTCGCTGTCATTCTGCAAAGAAATTTAAATGTTAACAGACATTTTTAACAGAATTGGCATAAAAACCCAGTATATGTTTATAGGGATTTTATTGGGTTTCCGCATACCGCATAAAACTTAACTAGGTCTGGTATTTTTTTTTTTTTTCTTAACAACGTTTTTATTGCCAACTATGTTTTTTAAAGAAAATTACACTAAAAAATAAAGTGGATTTCTTACCTGTGGAATGGTAACTCCTATCATCACTCTTTCTTTATAAAATTGTACACAGTCAACGTAGCACTTCCATTTACTCAATTTGATCAATTGACGGAGTTTTCCAATTTTCAGGTTGATTACGTAAAATTCGTTTTCTTTTGGGTGAACTACAACTAATTTATCTTCATACATGGCTATTTTAGTGTCGTTGTGGGTTCTTAAAAAATGTTGACTAGGCAAATGATCATGCACTGAATCTTCTATTAATAAATCTCTATGAACGACTTTTGTAAAATGCAATTTAAATTCATAGTTTTCGATTATATAGACAAAAATCACTGATCGAATTTCAATTACTAAGAATTTGTCGTTTCCAACCACTTTGGGCTTATCGACTTTAATGTGCTTATAAAATAATTCATTAAACATTTCACACATCTCTAGTTTTATATTGTGAAAATCTCTGGCCAAACCTTTTAGTACAGTTATTGTAACCGGTATTTCACTTCTTTTGTTGCTGACATTTACTACGTAATCGCCAAAACAATATGTATTTGATATGTGACTCAAGTGTGGTACTTTTACAGAACAGTAGCCGTTGCTTCTTAGGTATTTTAAAATCCTGTGGTAACAAATGAACGTATCCCACCAATGGCATGTTTGGCCAAACATGGAGGTGGCCCTAAAGTCCATGTACTCTTTTGACGATGAACCAACTAAAGTGCAAAAAGTTGGAGAATTTCTCAAGTAATCTTCATCCCGTATATCCAGCTCTTCACATATACGCTTCCAAATTACATTTTGATTGAGATATGTGCTCCGCCATATCTTACTGACAGAAGTCAATGCAATGATATCCCTCAAGTTCAAATATTGAACGATATTGGCTATTAGTTCAAGTGGAAGTTTTTGAATATATGTGTCAGATCTAAAAATACAAATGAAAATGTTTATATTTTTATTAGAAAATACATTACCTAGTGTTATAAATCATTTACAAAAATATTTCTTTGTTTTTAAAAAAATTTCTTAACTTTATAATAAATTTTAACTATGTACATATTCAAATATATTATATTAAATAAATCAAATTAGTAAAACTAAAATTATTATTGTTATACAATAATATAAAAAACAAATTTTGATTTAAAATATGGTTGCAAAATTGAAAATTTAAATTAATATTATATTGATCAAAACTTGCATTTGTTTCCTAGCTAATTACGATATTTTGACATACTTATATCACTTACGGAAATAACAAACTCTTAAATTGCTTAAACAGAGACAATATTAGCTGCTACTTGCATTTAAAGTGATATCAAAAAAGGATTTGAACTCTCATAGCGGTATTTGCATGTGACTTGCACATCAATCGTGCTACGGTAATGGCAGTATACAACAACGAATATTATCTCTATTTAAGCAATGTGTACAGATTTTGTATTTGTAAGTTGAATGCAATTTTAAAAATAATATTATAAATAAATAGGAATTATTACTTACTCATTTTTTTTATCATTTTTTTTATCATTTTTTTTATTATTTATTTTATTATTTGACATTCTAAAAAATCCTCTAGATTAAAATACTTGAAAACCTGAAAACAAATTGGAACAATAATAAATAATCAAACTAAATTTAAGTAGAATCGTTATTGTACATATATTTAAGAGATTCTTGTACTACAGTGTTATTTAGATTTTACCCAAACGCGCTCATTTCTGCTCTATTACTTTTGATCGCTAATGATTGATCAAAAAGAATGCCAGCATAGAATGTTCGAGGAAATGTGGGGATGGGACTTAGGGAATTATTGCAATTGAAGCTGATGGATTACTTTTAAATAAACTCTTTGATGCAATACAGTAACATCAAAATTTAACAGTTTTAAGTTAATGTGTCTTAATTTAAACTGAACATCCTGAACACATACTACTGTATGTGTTTATATAACTCCCCAACCCTTTTGAGGATAAAAGTTTTAACTGACCGTGTTGAAAACTACTCTCCTAGTGGTTTTTGGCAATTTAAGGTCTTTTTATTCAAAAAAAATCTTATTTTACAAAATTTTGTTGACCTTGCAATTTTGATAAAATGTCACCGTAGATAGATTTCTAATATTATGAAATCAAATATAAAAAAAAAAATCAATAACATTTGCAACTATCAAGACATCAACAATTTATAGTATTAAATTATTAAGAATTAAATTTTTTCGAGTTTTCTTTAATAAAAAAAAGTTTTAACGATTTTTAAAAATGTTTTGAATGTTAATTGTTGTTAGATTAAAGCAGTATTTTGAGAAAAAGAAATTTCTATAATTATTATTTTCATCTCCTCAAGTCAAATAAGTATAATATATAGATAATACTGTAATTTATAAAACTTAAGCCATAAAAAATATTGGCAGTATTCACCTATAAGTATTTTTTTTTTAGCCTTTATTTGAAATATGACGGCTCAACAATTAAAACAAAACTATGACAAAATATACAAATTAGTAAAAAAAATAAAAACATAATTAATTATAGGATATATAACCAAAACCAAAAGAAAACACAGAAAAATATAAAATAAAATAAAAGAGATTTAAATAGTGCAGCCAGCGCTCAAGAGGAAAGAAATTGTGGCAGTAATAATAGGAACTGAACGGGAATTGAGGATGTTAAGAGGATCAGGATTTGGGATACCATGGGATACAAAGAAATTAAAGAGAAGGATTCTATTAGGAACAAGAGAAAGATAATCGAATATGAAGTAAGAAAAATCATTCACCTATATAATTCCAGGTTAACAAAAACTTAATAGTTCAGTTAAATAACTTAAAAGGACAATGGTTAATGACTGGGGAAAAATTAAATTAATGTAGTTTTTTCCTATAAAACAATCCAATAAATATTGCGTCTAATTTAACTGTATACATAATACAGTAAAAATAATAAGAGTAGCGCATAGCGCCTGAAAGTTTAATCCATAGACCATGAGTTTAAGAAAAAGCCAATTATAATTTTTGAATGCTGTTTTCTAAATGCCAATTCCAAACAAATTTAGTTCTGCCATTTAGTAGATCAATTTTTTTGTTTTGGGATGAGTCAGCTGGGTTTTGAAATATTATGTTGTTCTAAAATGTTTAATGTAATAAAACTAAATTTAATTTTTTATGCGCCTCAATTATATTGTACATTCTAATTAAAATTTTCAAAAGCATAAACTTTGCACAACTTTTATAACTTCTTATAAAAATTAACTTTTTATTGCTTAAAGTAATTATGGGTTAATGATATTTGTATGTACATCAGTAGTATTATTAATAATTTGTATTATCTACATTAATAAATTGGTTCAACAGTTAAGAAGTTATTGTGGTTTTTACCCCAAAAAAAAAGAAGAGAGGAGAACCTGAAAAAGAGGGAAAGAGGAAAACCGAAAAAAAGCTGGTTGGATGCAATGGAGAATGATACTTCTGCTTACAATTTATATTTTAATTCATTATCGACTGTATTTTAAGTCACTTTAATAAAGGTTTTAATTAAAAGTTTTAAAAAAAAAAATGTATTCAATTAACGCAGTTATTTAAATAACTATTAATCTCTTTCGCTGGTGGAACTTTATACGTGTTACTAGTAGGCTAAACATTGCAAATTTTTTTTTTTTTATCGAGTCTTACATAAACATAGGAAAATGTTTTGCTTTTTTCAATTACAATTTATTATGGCATAAATGTTTATTACTAGTTACCCTTTTTTTCAGATTTTTGTTTTACCATTTTGTAGTTTTTTTAATGCTGATAATGAATCTGAAGTCAAAAATCGGCAGACTATTTCCTAAGTTCTAGCTACTTAAAAATTGCTGTGCGCCGCCACACCATACATTTGTCATCAACGTGAAGATAGGTTATCTGCTGCTGCCCGCCACAGCCACCTATTATTGTACATGAGGAAATAATATGCAAATTTCAAGTAGCTATAACTTTGAAACTAGAGAAGTGCGCCAACTTTTGACTTCAGATTCGTAATTAGCGTAAGAAAATACTATAAGATGGTAAAATCAAAAATAAAAAGAGTATCTGGTAAAGTGCATTTGTTCTTTTATTATCATTAATTATTATATATTTTTTAAAGTGTGCGTCAACCATCACCGATAACAGCCTTACTTCAGTTTAAAGGGTTGCTAACAAAAATAATAAATATAGACATATCCATAATACACCTAGTGTGCTAATACATGTATCTATACACAAAGATCTATGGATATGAGCATACTATTTTAATTATTTAATTTGATTTTTATAAATTATCAAGTGTCATTAAAATCTAAAATAAACATTTTACAGAATAATATTATAATTTATATATTAGATTAGTAAGTAGCCTCCTAAGAAATTCAAAACTTAGCTAGACTCAAAACGTTGGATTATGTTACTTAGGTACAGATGAAAATGTATTTACTATTTCTACTATAATAAAATAATCCTTACCTCTTTTTTTATACAAATTAGCTTGTCTAAAGTTCACGGCAAAATACGAGTTTTCATACAGAATCACTGATTAATCGCAATACAGAAGAGATTAGAGAACAATTATTTTATTATTACTGTGGAAAACAAATACCTAGGTATTAGGGTTTTTTAATTTTTTCTGACGGGTACGCCGTACGCCATAATAATATTATTACGGCTTGCATCAATAAAAAAGAGCAAATGATGCTCAGAGCAAATACACAGAGTTTCTAATTCCCTATACCACCCGCGGTACCTCCACATTATCACGGTAAGGTCCACGGTTATCCAGATAACCGTGGTAAGATCCTCTGTTTTACAGTTTGACCAGACATAAAAATACAAATTGTACGTTTAAAAATTATGTTTTTGACTGCCTTCTCTCATAATTTACATATTATATTATAGGCACGACTTCAGATATTTTTACCATTATTAAATCGCGGTGATAAAGAAGAAATAGTTCTTTATAATCGTGCATAAAAAATATGATAATTGATAACACAAGAAGTGTCCCCCACTGTTATTTATCAATTACCGTATAAAATTCGGTTTTATCTAATGTGACTGCATTGTAAAAATGAAGTACTGTTCCGCCACTTTTTTGGCGAAAGGATTCCTCCAAGAAGGATTCTACTGTAACACCTCTCTATGCTCTAGCATTATCATTCGACTGAATTATATACAGTAAGTCGAACTCTGACACTTAGGTATTACACCGGTTACTGGTTATAAACTGGAGGTAAAATATTCAAATAAACCCGGTATATATTATTATTATTATTATTTTGAATAATTTAATATTTAAGCGTAAGAAATACAACAAAATAGTCTACTTAAAACATTAGTTTATATATCTGTGGTTTAACGTGAGTATAAATTAACCAAATACATTTGCTTACAATGATATACTTATACGTTATGAATATGCTAATTAAATGTCTACTATTAAATTGACTAATTGAAACATAGAATTATATTTCATAGCTTAGTGGTGAAAATAATCATACACGTTTCTCAACTGTCATTAAGAGCACAAACAATCGCTTTAATTATTCTGTCACATATTAAAATATTATAATACTATTTAAAAATATTTATTTGAATATTATTCTATTTTTAAATACTTGAAATTTATTATTTATTCAAGTATTACTCAAATATTGGTTAGAAGTATAATAACTGTTTATTACATTTAAAATTTTTAGTTTGTTCATAATATTCGTCAGTCATGTAGTTTCCTCTTTTTAGTAAATGTTACTCTGTACATTTTACACTTATGACTTGTCTAAACTTAACACTACAGATTTTAATATTAAACGAGATATATAACTCTTTTTTCGTATAACTATTAATTATTACTATAAAAAGGGTTTTAATGGTACAACCCTAACTTATAAACTTGTTTGTAAAAATAAAATTGGTGGTCGGTATTTAGTGAAAATGTTTTAATATAAAAATAAAGTATTTAAAATGGCAATGCTTAATTGAAGGATATAATTACATAGGAGCGCTTAGTTCCTGAATGTAAAAGTATTTACTGTCAATTTTATTCACTAACATCAAATGTATTTTTATAAAACTTTTTATTCTTTATTAGAAATATTATTTATAATCAATGTTTTTATAGAAACTATTTTAGCGTCATCATTTTGTATACCACACAATAACATTTTTGACAAAAAAAACACACACAAAACTCATTTACCTATGTCATGAATTACATACTGATAATATTTTATACAAATACTGATCCATACCACTCCATAAAAGGTTCTTAAAAATAAAATAAATTAATTTGTATACTTGTAAGGTTTTTATCTGTGTTTTATATACCGGGTGATCCATGTAACATAAGACATTAATTTTCTCAAAAAATAATTAAAATTTTACAGTATTTTTTTTTGTTGAAAGCAACTTAATAAAAAAATGTATTTATGTTATTGTACAGTATTAAAACAATACCAAATTTTTATCTTTTATAATGTTTTCCAGTGATTTTGAAACTTAAAAGGTAACGTATATATTTATTTAACTTTCTAAATTAAGAACAATTTGCCGAATAGTATTTTTAAAGTTATTAAAGTTTAGCTAGGGAGAAGGGTGGAGTGAAGTGTTAATTTTATCTGTGCATATTACTTATTCTCCCGCTCGTAAATTATAAACTCTAATAACTTCATTAAAAAGTTAATTAAATGTACAAGTTCTCATTGAAGTTTCAAAAGTTGATGGCGCTCTGGAAAGTTATTGTAAGCGGGGTTAATTCCCGCGGGCTCACGTTGTTCTTAGAAACTACCTACCTCTTACCTTACGGTTCAAACCCGTAGACTCCTTTTGTCTGCTGTAGATGTAGTTGGCGAGGATCGTGAGCCGTCGCTGTTGGGAAAAGCCTTTTGTTCACTCAATTCTTGTAATTAGTAAAGAAAATGTCTGAGACGAATAATAATGATGTATAATAGTGTACTAAGTAAGTTGGTTTACTCACTATTGTCGAATTATGTTACTTTTATAATTAACTGAAATATAAATATGTTATTAATTGTTTGGTATATTCTTATAATTAAGAACATAATCCCTTATCAAACATATAAGTTTTAACTGGTTTCAACATTATTAAATAACTTATCTAAGATGATGTAATCGTTTTACATTTTTTTTCCTATTTTGCCGATATTTATTAAAAAGGGGTTTGAAGCAGCCAAAACACTAAATTGAAGGAAGTTAAAACGTCCATCATCGCATCAAAAATAAGATAAACAATGACATGTTTTTTTCTAAAAACAGAAGCCCTTACTTCTTATGTTTACTGGTAACGACACGTAAAACCCTGCATTTGTTCGAAAATCTAAAAAATTACTTACAAATATTCGGCGAATCATATTATGTTGTTGTAAAACGGTAAATTGAAAACTGGTTTGTGCTAGGTAAATAGGCTGAATAGAGCAAATATATACACTAAAAAGACTTTCAATAAATATCAAAATGTATCGTTAACTTAAAATTATGAACGTTGACATTAAGCGGAAAACAGTGTACGAAACAAAAGTCTGTGAATTCAGAAAGTTGTATTTACCAAAATTTTCACAATGACACTTTATCCGATCAATTGTAAAAGTTTTGGAATATTCCCCGAAATGTTGTAAGCAAATACTTGGAAATTCTCTCCAGCAGAACAAAACTTGTTTATCTTACTCCATTCCCTTAACAATATCTTGGCAAGTGTAATTGTGTTTGTGTCAAACCACCGCCTGGGCATAGTGGAAAGGGATCAAGTACCATACTTCTATGAAGAAAATGTCCTGCTCCTCTGTAAAAATCTGAGTAAGATTTGAAAATTTTGCAAAAGTGAACCGAAATCTTTAATACTTATTTACTTTTATAAACTTCTATGATTCCAATTGCCTTCAAGTATAAAGTGGGTAAAAAATTACCTACGTTAATTTTTTTTTATAAAGACAATTTAATTTCTGTCTTTGGTTAAACTACTTAAATAATAATTACCTTTTTTTTTGTCCTAAAAAAAAACATACTACTCAATAAGCAGACATAAAATAAACTGTATAAAAACGTTACTGTAAAACGAAATCTCTTCAAATAATTTTATTATTTTTTCTCAAACTTAATTTTATTACGCATATTTTTATCCTTCGAATATATTTTGACTGTAATCATAATTAAAACTACTTTATAATATTTGGAGACCCTCTGACAAATGCCGTTTTTTTTCATTGATAAGTGTATGTGCTATATGAATACTTACAATATTTTTAATGATGTAATATGATATTGCAATATGCCTCATTGTCAAAACTTTCAGCTCACGTTTAACTGTATTTTTTAATTTAGATTTATTAAAGTAAATAGAACTATATATTTGTATATTTTAAATTAAGAGAACTTAACTGTAACTTTAGTTTGAGTTTTCTGGATGGACTTATGGGGTTTTCAGGTTGGTTGGATATCAGAGAGAATATGATGTGAAATTAAATGTTGACATTAAATGATCATTAATTATGAATAATTGTATTTATAATTAACATTGATTATCAATGCTAAGACACATTTAAAAAAAGTTAATTTATTGTCGCTTCTTTAATTCATATAACTAGCTACATATTAAAAGATATATAGGTACAATTTAGTTTTCGAATCATCATATTTTACAAGGGTAAAAAAAATGAACAAATAACATTCCTTTTAACTATCATAAGTCATTTTTAAGACAAATAGTTTTATTAAAAAATCAAACAAGTAATTTTTATAGAATAGAATCTAATATATTGTTATACATTCATACATCATTATCGTTATTATATATATAAATAGTATAAATATTATAAATATAAAGGCACACATGTACACGTACACACATTAACACGCATAATGTTACATTACAATCATAATAATATATATTTTGTATGGTATAATATACTGTATAATATATTTAAACGTTTTGTACTTAGCATTATCATAAAATAATAGGAACTATTGAACATAATATAGTATGTTATAACACCAATCTAATGTAATTTTTTTCTTTTAATAATATATTTTTCAAAACGTTCTTTTTTATCAGTTAAGATAATTATTATTATTATAAATAAATTATGTGAGTATAAATTAAATACACTCACAAAAAAACAGTCTATCAATTTATAATCGATTTTCCATTATCATAGGCGTTTGGAGCTTACATACCTATTAATATAATATCATAATTAATTTACAGTTAAGTGTTATATTTTATTTGTTTATATAATTAATATTATATTATTAAAATATAATATACGCATTTGTTATTATAAATACTATACGTAGAAGTGTATATTGTAAGTAACTAAGTCAGTCATAAAATAAACTATTATTTTTATTAAAACATTTTTTTACTGTTATCCAACTCGATATCCAACAAAAACACTTCCCTCCCCCCTCCCCAAAAAAAAAGATTTTCAAACTTTTTCGCGCCTTTACTATGTTTTTCCAATAGACTATAAAATCATTTATGATCCATAAGTCGGCGTTTGGATCAGATCGGGAATTTTTAGATTAAATAGAAATCCATCGTGGCAGTGTTAGTGGTTTTGAACTTGTTTTGTCCTGACACAAGAGAAAGATGGGGCGACATCTGTGGTGGGTTATATAACAGTACGACAGGCAAATAGTGTTAAGTATGTAGATTTGGAGTTCGAAAGGAATCTGACAGGCCCGGGGTTATTTATATCCAAATAAATTGATTTCCGGTTTTATTTACCCACGTACACATGAAAAAAATTCACTCGAGGGAGTTTAGGATGTACTTCAGTGCTTTCTTCACTGTCTGTTCACTCGATGCGAAATGTTATCAACAACACCTCCTATTCCATAGATAAATGTATCGAATAATTCACGACATTTCGAATCAAACGATTCGAGGACGACAATAACATTACAACGGGAAAGACAAAAAAAATAACTCGAATTGTAATTTTTTTAACCTTGCAAAAAAAAAAGTACATGAATAATAGCGAAAAAAAGGAAATTTTGAATATTTGATTGATAGAAACAGATCGGTTTGGAATGAAAGCGACGAGAATAGCACTTAAAATAATAATAATATTCATAGTTAAACGAATTGTGACAAGTCCAGACAGCAACATACAGTTCATAAAGAAAAGGAATGTCATACTTGAACCTCGACACTAACCAGGTTGCACACAACTGAATTGTTCAATATGACTGACAGCCACAATTGCAGCAAGAGACCGAATGCGTATCTACTTCCTCCAAGCTCTAGGCCAACAATTGAAGAGTTGTAAAATGATTTTGAAAAACTGAGTAGATTAGAGGCCCCGGGATGACCTAAAGAACGGTGGGTCTATAGAGGTAGGTATCGAGGATTGAGGAAGAATAGGAGTGGATAGATAAGATGGATCTGGATGGTTTATGCAGTTGATGAGATGTGCTAAGTTTGATGTGGACCAATCTTTGCTTCATAATCGCGCCAAACTCATCAAACTTCGGTCCACCAAGTATTATAATCATATAACCTTCAAATGATGATTAAATCATATTTTACCAGATGAACTGCACTTCCAAGTCGACTCTCATTCCAAAGATTTATTTTATTTCCTGTCATACAATACACAATTTATAATTATTAATAAGTATCTAACTTAACAACACAAAATAAAAATAAAATATAAAATACTAGGTAAAAATAAAAAAAGACTTAGAATTGTCTCGCATAATTACACACAAATATATAGTACCTACAACATATTTTTTTTTTGACTAGGATAAATAGTACCGTACAAAATTAACATCCATAATATATAATCTAAAAGGTTCTAATAATAATATAATAATAATAATAATATTTTTTCTTATGTTCTAAAAAGTAACTTAATAAGTAAATAAATTACAATATGGTAATACAATAATTTTGATTTTTGTTTTCCTATTTTGACTGTATGTCAAATTAATTTTGATATCGTTTCCATTATATATGTTTAATAAATATACCTAAATCTATAACCTATATAATATATGCGTTACAATATAGATTCATATTATAAAGCCATCGACGTATTTTTTTTTTTTTTTTTGTTATTTTTCGTTGATTAAACCTATAATACCTATTATGCCAAATTCTAAATAATAGTAATAATAATAATAATAATAAAGTCAATGTACAATCTTAAAATTAGTTTTGATTTAAGTTCCATTGTAGGGTAAAATTAAATTAAAAATTGTTTAAAACAATCATAATATAATATTTATATCGTACGTTTAAATTAATATAGCCAATACTTAAATTTCAAGTAATATTTAAAGTTAGTGTGTTACCGTAAATATTTCGGACATGATTTGTTTTGGACTTAAGACACGCTACGTTATATTTTATACAAGCGCCAATGTTTAAAATAATCCTAAATACGGTAGATGTTTTGCTTAATACACAAAATTATGACTAAAAACATTAAAAGATATTTAACTGAAAAACTTTACGCGCGATCGTATGTTTACGAAAGTAAAATAAATTGGGAAATAGGCGACCACCGTGGAGAGAGAGGGGGGGAAGGGGTAAAGAAAAGAAAAACTTTTCTTTTTGCTATTTAAGTATTTAATATATATATAAATTCAATTTACTACCAATTCTTCGGTTCAAGAAAAATTGTATTTTCAATTATTTTATTTTATTGTTTCAATAATTCACAAAATACTGTTATAGAATACAAAAAAAATCTCTCCTATTGTATTTCTCTCTTCCCTCCGAATGCGGAGGACGAAGAAAGGTAAACTAGAAATTTAGTTTTGAAGAATAGTTCATATGACAATAGTGTTTTATGGTTAATCATTTATTTGTGATTTCTGTTTTTGACACCGGATAATTTTTTGCGACTAACCTAACCGAGTAACGATTTGCCATTCATTTTTATTATCGGCTGTCGTTATGTAAGTACGAAACGTATGTAATGCAATATACTTTGAACCGTATAGTTACTATTATTACCTAAAATATCTTGTATTATTTCTTTAATATACTGTCGAAACCGTAAACGCGACTGATTCCCAGTAAATTATGTCTGAGGGCACATCTGAACAATTCCATTAAAGTATGTTTTAGTGGAAATTATACTGAAAACGTGTTGAAAACTCTCAAGAGTGCTGATTTTATATTTTGAAGTCGGTGGATTATTTAAGAAACCCTTACACGAATGAATACTTCGTGAAAATGTTTTGGATTCTATTTTTAAAGATAGCGGTTGACAATATATTTTTGAGAAATGTGCCTTATACGAGTATCGAAACAATATGACAGTGTTCTTGGATTGACACTGCGATTGGCTAACAAGTGTATGCACAGCAACCGGCAGTCAATCAACTATGTCAATACACTAGAACACTCTTCACAGGTCTTGTAAAATGCAATGCATCATAAACGGAGTTTCAATCATCTCATAACTGACATGGACAGACTGAAAATTCAGATTTTAAATATATCAGTCACAAAAATGGGTTGTCGAACATATACCTAATACGCCAATACAAGATCGGCTTGATTATCATTCCAAACGATTGTCATTGATGATCGATAGGGTGTTGCCGATCGAATTGTAAATGTGAACCCCATTTGGATTTTTACCTTTCGTAAAATGATAAAATCTCATGACATTGATTGTACAATTTTGCATTAGAAAATAGGTAAGTCGGGAATAATAGTATCTCCATATACTGCTTGCGCGTACAAAAAATAATGGTCTCTAATGATCCTAATTAAATACCATCAGACGGGGTTGTCCCTGCAGAAGATTGCAACTATTTGATTATGGCACGCTCGAAAACATCCTGAATTTATCAAATCCGTTTAAAAGGTTCATTATTTTATTTTTTATTCTCGGAAAAGATTACAACGATTGTGTTTTTCTCGGAATTACGGTCTTCAACCGAACCAAAGGTTCAAGCCTTTGCGTACTCGACGATCGTTGGTTTTACCTGCAATATAGATTGTGATATAACATGTAACAGCGTGTATACCACTTTTTTTTCTGAGTGCGTGCCTATATATTATGCATATAAATCTGCATACTTCGTAGACCGTAAGACCAAATCCCGATTTCGGTCATAACATCTGGAGTATATTAATTATATACATATACATCCGGAAGCAACACCCACTACTCGGAAAAAATTGTGCGTTTAGGTTTGCTTGAAAGTCACCTATCCACCTCCGTTACCCTAGATGTGTGTTATCTCGTCATGGTGTTTTTTTTTTTAAGAAATTATTTGGTACTCGAGATGAACGCTTGTTGAAAGTCAAAAGGTCGACGACCATTTGAAAATTGCGTTTAATAGCGCATTCGCCCAGATTGGCTCTACTAAACCTCGGGTATTACATATTATAAAAACGTTGTAACAACTTTGGTGAGCGGTAGGATTTTTCATTAGATTTGGGCTGTAAAAAACCCCTACGGTCGGGGTGTTTAATGATTCAATAAAACATCCAGTGGCCGTTTTGCGGGTAAAACAAACTATCGAGGCGCCACCCTCGGCTAACGTGTAAAGTCCAACATTTTATGAGCCATCAGTAATTAAATTCGATATTTTATCGCATCCGACAAAAATCACTAAATAATATTTGTACATCAATTAAAAATACCTATCATATAAGCACAAAAAAAAAAAAATGACTAGAATAATTCTATGATCTATACCTAATATTGTAGATAATTATTTTGTTGAATAATATAATCAACGGCGAGTAACGAAAAACATTAAAAAAAAATAATAATAAAATATCGACTAGAGTTATCTTAATGGAATAAAATATGTAACGCAATAACGCGGCGAATAACAATGTTAAAAATAATTTTGATTTTCGTTTTCTTGCCACGTTTAAAGATTAAAAAATATGATTTTGATTATAACGTTATCACGCTAGCACGAATATGATTTGGAGATAAAAATAGTTCATTTTATTTCTACAATACAACATGTAAGCCGGTTCGTATAGCAACGAACAGTGCTCAGTCATTTTTTACGGGAATAATACAGAGGAAAAATTACTACGGGCAATGGTGTTAATATTTTACTATGGAGTTTTACCGGTAGTTTCTACACACGATTTACGTTTTGTTTCCAGAACACTTTTGACCCTCGGACCATTTACAATGGAGATTTCAAATATATTTTTTAACAATAGACAGGTTAACAAAACGGTCTTGGACCGAGGCATGAGTATCGAGCGAAAAAGACATGGTACTATAGTTTACCCAGGTCAACGGAAAAATATTATGGTGTTTTCAGTTATTTTTGTATTGACAAGAGTTTTAAATTATAACATCAAGATGATAAAAAATACTGATATCCGTATTTCCACTCGATAATAAAAGTTGTTTTTTTGCGCACTTTCTATATCTTAATTTTGTTTATTCATTTTGAAGAGTCCACCGATCACATTTACGCAGGCGTCGCAACAGTTACTATCAGCTATTATCCCATATGTGATAATGATAACGCTTACCAAGTGTTGATAAAACCTCGAGTATACAGTACCATTAACCATTCGGCCCAGCTCTCTTTATCCATTATAAATTATCTACCGTTTAAGCATTGAATACATGCATGGTCGTCCGGTTCGTATTGTCCCTTGTAGTTAACTAATTATTGTGGTGTCTATAAACGAATAATTGTTATCACGGAAGTTGAAGTAATTTATTTTCGTTGAAGGTTATATTTTTGTTCTTGCTTATAAAGTGTTGTTCAATAATCGAAAAAGTAATATACAAACACTTTAACAAAAACCATTAGTCTGTTTTACAATGAATATCCATTATTACAAAGCCAAAAATTTAAGAAACTAAAACGAACCGGACCAACCTAACCCGATGAGATAACCAATGGATGTGAAACTCTATTTATAATAAGAATATATTAAGCTCTAAACAGGAACCACCCAACCTTACAAGGTGACCTTCTTTGGGTTGGATGGTCACCGCTCAGGAATCGGCTTCTTCTTATTATGAATAACGTGCAGACGCATTACGACTCTCGTGTGTAAACCACCGTTTGACTCACAAGACTTAATTAGGAACTTAAGTAACGTAGATATCACCAGATTTTATTCCAGCACCCATGTAAATTTGTTAGTTTCTTTTTTTTTCAGTCTTATTATAATTCTTTGTTGTACAATAATATTTACTATCGTACGAATAAAAACACTAGTTTTACTAAAGACCATTTTTGCGGAAAGCTTACCAATACAACATTTTATGGTAATCTTAATTACAGAGTTGGCAATACCCCGAATTTCGATTTTTAAAAATCCCAACCTAATTAAATTTTGAGCTAGGTTTTTATGAGTTTGGGCTTTTTGCCAACTCTGTGCCAACATACGGCTGTCGGCGATAACGAATTTACATGTGTATCTTTCTGTGCTTATGGTTAAGGTATCCGAGGAAAAACTATGTGGGGGTGAGTTTGAAAAACACATTGACCGTGGAGGTGAGCTTCTCCTTGACTGGAAGGTAAACCAAAGACGAGTGAAACGAGTCGCTCCGGCCGGTGCCACCGCCACTGTTCAACACTGTTTTCACTGCTGGCGACACGGAACAATTTTCCAGGAAGAACGATTGCATTATGAATGGTTCGTGACCGACGTTGGTCTCGTTCGGTTTGCGGGCGTCCGCGTACACGTCGTTGCCGTTGGTGTCCATGGACGACTTGTCCACCGTCGAGTCCTGTCCAACGTCCAGTTCGTCGGCGATTACCGCCGGTTCCGGACCGACGTTGGTCACCGGCGCCGGCAGATCGCAAGCTAAGTCTTTTTTTGTTACGTGACAGTGGATCATGTGCGTTTCTAAATGCGCTTTGTCGCGGAACGGCCCAGCGGAACAGTCGGAACAGGCTAATGTTGTCACATCGTTGTCGCCGTCGATCGCCGTCGGCCGCTGTTGTTTGACGGCCACGTGGAATTTCTCGTGAACGAACAAAAACGACAGGATGGACGTGGTGAACGGACAGTACGAGCACCGGTACTGTTTGGCTTCGTCGGCTTGCGGCGTCGTCTGCGCCGGTTGCTCGTCGCCCGAATGCCGTCTGGACACCTCTTCCGAGTCCGCCGGGTCGGCTGCGACCGTCGGCAATGCCATGTTTTGTTGACCGACTTGGCCATCGCCGCCGTTTAGATGATTCTGTATTTGTTTCCATTGGGTCCGCCCGTCTTCGCCGTGGTCGTTTAACAAATGGGCGCTCAACCATTTCGAGCTCCTGAACCTCCTGAAGCACAGGTTGCAAACTTCGGTGTAGTGTTTGTAGTACCGGTGATTGTTGTCGGTCAGTTCTTCCGGTCCACCGGCCGACCCGCTGTCTGTCCCTGCCAAATGGTCCGACCACAATTTGTGACAACCGGCCGGTCCAGCGTGCTCGGCGATACCGTGGGAGTTCTGTTTGTGCACCCTCAAGAAGTACTTGCTGCACAGCTCCTTGTTGCATATGTCGCACACCACTCCGTTGATGTGGTTGCCGTTCTGTATGGAAATTCCGTGCATGCGCTGCATGTGCGTTTTCATAAAGTACTTGTTGCATAGTTCCTTATTGCATATTCTACAGAAACTGCTGAGCATCGTCGACGACGACGAAGACGACGGTTTCCTGTCTTTGATGTACTCGTTTTCGTTCTCGGTCGAATACTTGCTGACCGGCGATGAAGCCGCGCTCATCCCTTTGACGTGGCCGTCACATTGTTGAACGTGCGCTTTCAAGTGAGCGTCCGAGACAAACGTCTGTTGGCATTCGGGACACGCGTGTTCGGTAAGCTGCGATGTTCCGTCGTGGCTGGTAGCCATCAGCGTCTCGTTGACCAGTTCTTGGACTATATCTTCATGTTTGCTAAGAAAATGCGCTCTTAAAGACGATCCGTCCACCAATACGTTGCACACGTCGCATTTGACCGGGCCCGGACTCTCGGGAGTCAATTTCATCAAAATACCCTGCACAGCTTGTTGAAATCGGTTCTTGTGCTTGAGTTGTGCCATTTCTTCTAGGGCCGCGGTCTCGTTGGTTTCTACCTTTGGGGGCAATACTTCCTCGGGTAAATCACGTTCGTCTTTCAGCCTTATCGGTTCGATGGTCAACGCGTTCCGGTCCAACATGAGGTTGACGGGAAACACGTCAGCCAACTGTCGTTCTCCGTAGACCGCATTGGTCGTAGGATCAGTAGGCTCGTCTTCGTGGGCGGCTGCCAACATCTCGTCTCCGTAACTCTGTTCGGCGGCGGCCATCGGTTCGGTCTTTATTAACTGATCGTCGATGACAGTATTTGTGGCGAGATCCGTAGGCGGCTTTTGTGAGTAATCGTTGACCGTCACTTGGGCGTAAGATAAAACGTCTACTAATGTAGAGGCGCTCAAAATCTCACCCCTCTCGCAGCCGTCCAAAGATTCTGATTGTTCTCGTTTTATGTAGGTTCGCTTGAGATTGGCCGCCACATCGTCCAAGGCCCTGTAATCACCACCCTCTTCGTATATACCGTGTATTTTAGCCTTGTGTCGTTTCACAAAGTACTTGTTGCAAAATTCCTTTTGACAGATGCTGCAGAAGGCCCGCGTGTTAATGTTGTTTATCATGTTTTTGACTCCCTGAGCATTGGCCAACGGCGGCTGCTGCTGAACCACCGGTGGAACGATTTTGGACGCGTAAAACGGTGGCGCGGAGGACATGCCGTGGTTAACATCCGGTTGTTTCCATCCTCGATCCATGTACTCCGTGGCGGTCTGTAGACTGACGTCCGAGTAAACACCGTGTTTGTTGGCCTTGTGGGTTTTTAAAAAGTATTTGTTGCAAAACTCTTTGTTGCACTGGTCGCAATAAGCTTCGGGATTGAATATCTGAACAGGAGACTGAACGTAGTTGCTAGGTTTGGACGTACCGCACACCTGCAGTGGTTGAGCTTTCAAGCATATCGGAGTAGCGTTGACCGAAGGTTCGTACTTTAACTGGTTGATCGGCCTCAAAGTCGCCTGTTGATGTTGGTACTGTGGCTGCTGCTGGTGCCGCTGATGATTCTGTAGGTATTGCTGATGATGCTGATGCTGTTGATGTTGCACCAACTGTGAATGTTGCTGCTGCTGCTGGTGTTGGTTAGTACCTAGTTGAAGCATCGCATTGGACGCAGTCGGGTTGGGGACGTCTTGATGTAAATGGTAGACGACGGCATTGGTGTGCGACGGTTGGGGAGATACGGCTTGCGATTGTATCTCGGATTTGGTCAAGTTCAACGGCGGACTGTGTCGCTTAGAAGATGACTGCAGTAAAGAATCATCTGAACTGTGGTCCGATTCGGGCTTGCTGTTGCCGTGGTCGGATAGCGTGTCAAAAGCGTTGCAGTCGCCAGTGGTCGGCGTCCCGTCTTCCGAGGATATTCTCGTGGGGTTAGGCTGTTTGCGGCGCTTCTTTGGTATGTCCTGTCTGTGCGTTACTTGCCGATTGAGATCTGACGAAATACGTTTCGTCCCGATTTTCACATCAATCGTATAGTTAGACTTACCGGACGATATAGACTTTAACAGTATGTCGGTCCATGTGGTCGGGAAGCTCATTTTGTCATCGGTCTTGCCGATCGCCTGCATGCCGCTGTTATTCTCGGGAATCGCCTAGAAACCAACACAAACAATTATATCAATTATATTTATACTTATTTTAAAATGTATAGAAAAAGATTAGCCTAGCTAGCCAGAGTAGTGTCTACAGCGCTATTGAAACTGTCAAATTACCACCCGAATGCTTACAATCTTATTTACATAATATTAATCATAACAATTTAGTTACTAACAAATTAGTTTTCATAAAGTTCAAATCAAATTGATTTTGAAACACAATTTGAATTTTTATTTTTTTAATTATCTTACTAAGTTTAAAAAGTGTTTCTGTCATCTACATTATAGACGGATTTAAAAATTTGTTTAACCTCCAACAAGTTAATCCTGGCTTATCTTATCTTACCCTAACCTACCTATTGACGACAAATAACCTGTTCCAGGTATTAAGCAGTCAAGAACTGAAAGGTTTTTATTTATTTCATCTATTGATACATGAGTTAACACTTAACAGCCAACGAAATGCTGATTAAACCATTTCGAGGTTTATAAAGGCGTAGGAATTTCGTTTTCTAGTCAGTTACTTTGGGTAATTACTTACATACACTTCTTCTCAAAATTTTATTTTTAAAGTTTTATTTATTAATAAAATTGTAGTGAAGTTGTGTTTTAATTTGACAAAAACATTGTTCAATATAAATAAAAGACCAAAAACTGCGCTCAAGAAGACAAAACAGAGTTTCATTGCCCTCGAGGAGAATGATTTCTTGATATTGGCTTAGTTTTTAAGTGTATAATTGTAGTGTCATACTTATGAGATTATAACTTAACTTAGTTAAATGCATTTGATGACCTTTCGCACCGCGTAATTTAATTTGACGTACAATTCTAAATCCAAGCCAAAATGTTATTACCAGCGCTCTTTCTAGTATTTACGTTTTATATTTTATTGTCAGTAATTTGATTAAGCAGTTTTTATCTTTTTTATACATTCCGGATCACTAATATTAGATATAACTGTGTCCCTCGTTCATATAAAACTAAAATATTTGAAATATTTATTAAGTTCCAGATTAACAATAATAATAACAACGTGAGACATCACACAAAAGTTTAAGAGTAGAACTAATGTAAGACTTATGTAACTAATATAATCTGTTTTTCTTACCCAATTCTTTGGATTTTTGTACATGTATATGATACATTTTAGATAGAACAACGGGATTAGAAGAATTATTATGAGTTTATAAATTATAAAAAAGTTAATAAAAGTTTTGCTGTATAAACGTAGAATTTTGACCTAATCTAACCTCGCCTCAGACACGTGAGAGGTATATGGAGGGATAGCTCCTCCCCCCAGTGTCTAACCAGTCCCACTATACTATAATGATACATAATAGGGAAATTATTTTTTAATATTGATACAACAGAAAAGGGCTGTTGTAATTAAACTATATTGTATAATCATTGACACAAAATATTTCTAATTAGTTGTGTTCTTCTATTTCGTCAACAGGGCCAGCTAAATATTCTTCCTCTACTTTTCTTATGGCTCCACATTTTCTATTTACACATCTCCATATATTTATTATGCATTCCTTTTCGCTATCTTTTATTAAGTCTTATCAGTTTTAATGTTAGATTTGTCTCCCTTCTTTCAACTTACTCAAACACCATCTTAGTCTTTCTTTCTCACTTTATACTCATATCGAATAATTGATACAAATTAGTTATTAGGACTGTTGTAGGATATTTTATTGGTTGAGCTATATAAAAATGATCACGTCCAACGAAATGATAGGTTCTTAGTAGGTAAATTTTTGAAAATTTGTTATTTGGAATTTACAGTCGAGCTCAAGCCAAAGCAAACTCTCCTTACTTGCTATAGTCCTAAAGCTGTATATCCTTGCCCTTATAAAAAAAAATAGGTATACGTGTACGCCACTTACCCAAAAAACTATCCGAAAAACTTTACTTTGTCCAAGAGGCAATTGAACGGTTTAATTGGCGCGCACCACACACGATCGGTACGACCATACACTCGGCGACAAAGCAAACGCTGTACTGGCAACCGACACCAGACGGCAAACGGCGTTTAATAAACAGGGTAAGTATAAGAACACCTCCCCTTCGTCAGCCAGTTGGTAGAGGTGTTTTCCGAGAATTGTGTGTTCGATAATTATTATGTTTTTTAACGTCAAATATTTGCGATAGTTGCGTAAACTCGGGGTTTTGCTGCACCTCCCCCTGTCGTCTCTCCTTTTTTTTTTTTTTTTAAACTTATTTAAAGTGCAAACACTTTATGTACACCGACGGGCACGAAACTTTCGGCGAAACGACTATTATATTATATATATATATATATCGCACAGCAGAGCGTTTGGCAATTCAAAAGCAAACAATTTCTGGCGATTCTAGGAATTCGATGGTCTCGCCGTATTGACTCATTAAAGAAACCTTAACTATATACCCTTATAAAATATACAGCACAAACGTCAGGCCAATAAAAACGTATACGCCGTGTTCTCGGTATCATAACGAATATATTATTATAAAACAAAAAAGACACGCAAACATCTCTCGGTTCATGGATAAATTATAACATTGTTATGCGGTTAATAAATATAATATATATACAGTGTACATACATAATAAAGTTAGCAGTTCAAAGGAAGCGCGGTAAAATTCACTGGAATCCAACAGTTCAAAAAAAGCGTAACGTTAAAATAATAATAATATATAAATGTAATTTAAAAAAAAAAAAAATCTCTATGAAAAAACCAAAAACGATAAAGCCATGAGGAGTTTATTTTTTCTAGTTTCTGGACGCGTACATAGTTTTTAAAGTAATTGATTCACTTTTTGTTCTTGGAAAATTATATTGAACAGTAGTGTGGTCACTACCATACATCGATATTTTCAAGCAACTCGACAAAAATCGTAAAATGTTTTTGTTTTCATTGAATAATCTTAATTTTCAATTTAGATAAGCCCCCGCGATTAAAACAAAGCTCTGTATGTTCCATATTAATGAACATAACAACTACCATACCTGATAATTCAACACCTTCTTTGAAAATAAAACAGCGTTAATAGCTAGTTTTTGGTAGAGTGTAAACAAACAATAGTTTATCGGCCGTTGACCACTAGACAAGTACATATATTAAAAACCTAAAGGAATAGCAATACCAATTAGAAAATGATAATATTCGTTTACAATAATAATGCTCCTAAACAATCGAAGGAAAATTTTTTAACCAACAATATTACAATTTTTTATTAAACCAATTTTAATTAAAATTTTTTAACATCTCTAATAAAATATTTATGCAATATCAATTTTTTGAAGTACGAGTATTTAAGTAAGTATTATCTGTAAATAGATATTTAGTAAACTTTTTTCTATTATTTATAAATTTGTCTAAAAACATAATGAAATTTTGTAAGTGTAACATGCTTTCAAACAATTTCAAGTAAAAATAGTGTTTACAGTGGAACATTTGAAAACAATTTTAGAACGTTAATATTAAAATTATATATTAAGTATATTTAAAATATTAAAACCCGTACGACAATTATTAATTGTGTTTAAACGTTCAATTTTTATAAGTTTTTAAAAGAATATATAATTATACATTTTTTATACAAGGTTTAAACAATTTCTTCTTGCATGCACTTGTGAGGTGAGTCGTTAAAATAAATCGACTTGAACCACCTATGAAGGCTTTATACTTAATTACGGTGTTGGGTGTCTACATAATATTGTATATTTTAATAGTAATTACCCGTTACTCGTGTACGGTTTGTGTTATTGACATTTTGTTATATTCTATTGCAGAATGTTATTGTAGTGGTATAATATGACTTATGTACTGGTAATATAAAATAGAAAACATGAGATGTACAAAACGAAACACCACCCAGTTGGAGTTCCCACAGTTGGTTTAAATTATTAATCATCAGGGACTCGCATTAAAACGGCTACGCTTATAATTTTGACCACAAATAATTGATGTATTTTGATAATTTCATAACAGATGGTTGTGTTTTTCACGGGACGCGAGTCAGTAGTTAAATGGAATTTATTAGCCAGCCAAAGACAAACCACAAGAAAAATGCAAATAACAGGACATACTAGAATTAGTTGTTTTTTTTATTTCAAAGACATTTTTTATTAAATAACAAGATAAATTTAAGTAAGGTACAAATAATTTACTCGAAATAAGAAACATCTGGAAATTAGATTTAATTAAAAATCAAATTACGCTATAATATAAAGACTTGTCAAAGCGAAACTATATTTTATAAAATTTAAAGCCTGCTATATAAGTTTGTAAAGTTTTTTTAAAAAAAATACGGCCGAGTAAAAAGTTTAAACTTTCTAAATACAACTTTTTGTAAAATGCACTATGATTTATATTACAACGTTTATTATAAAAGTTCAAAAAGAATTCATGGCCAGCTGAACAAAAAAAAGTATAGTGCCAAAATATAAATCGTATTATTTTAAAGGATTGTACTTACGAAGAATCACACAAAGCATTAAGTTTTTAATTTATTATATTGAAGATAGAATTGTATCTAGCTGGCTCGTATTGGTAGAACTTTTTACAGAAAACAAAATATATCGCTACTCGCTTGTCTAAAACTTTTAATTTACAGTACTATTAAATTTATAGCCAAACAAAACTTTTTTAAGGTCGATTCTAGGTAACTATCGATAATTAAAGAAACTCTTTTTTCCAATTGCCATTACTGTCAATCTGGTTACAACTATTAAAACAAAAAGTTTTTTTTCTCGAAAAATATAAGAGGGTTTAAATAAAAAAACGCTAACTTACTGTCAATTTATTAAATATAAATTCATTGAAGAGCCTATACAAAAAAAAAACCGTATCTGTTGGTGTAGCGTTCTACAGAATTAAATTGGAATACAATTATTATGAATTGTTGAAAGTCAAATGTAAACGCAACGGTCTCAATTGGATCTATATTTTTGGTAATGTTAACACCATTGTAGGATAAAAATGAACAGTACAAACATCCAAATACACAGAGGACGCCAACTAAAAAAAGTTTATTCAAATTATTTTAAACAAAAAACAAACCATCAAGGACCGGTTATCAGAACTCCTTTGTAGCTCTGCCAATTGGTATCGCACTACACGACAGGATAATTAAGGCAATCGTATAATATGTTCATGAAGTGCGAACTCGTTTGTCTCTACGGCTAAGCATATATAACAACATAACGATGTTAGTTTTAGTGGTGTTTTTTTTTCATTTAGCCAAATAAACCCACGCTATGGCCAATTAATCGGGCAAAACTAAATAAAGATGATATTTGTATAAATTAACATAATTTATGTTCCGGGTCAACGTAACGCATATTATCATAGGACAGGTTTGGAAAGGTTAGGTTATTTAAAAACATAACAACAAAAATAAAACTCCAAGGCGATTATGTTTTTGTTTTTTTATCGAGGTTCAGACTGTCGTACACTGACCCAAAGGTATGCAAATAACTTAAAAAAAAAAAAACATATGTATTTAACTTACTACCAATCATCCAGTTTAAGTTATAAAAATCCAAAACAATGAATTACAAATCACAAATTGTAAAATTGACTTAGAAAAAACTAAAATAATAAGTACGAACTTTGCAAAAAATATTTAATCGTTAATAATTGAACCTTTTCTTAAAACGTTGTCGAGTACAATTACAATTATTTGTTTTCAATTATGATTGTACATTTTACCCTAAAAATTGACATATCAACACAGTATTTAAAATACAGCACATGCCGAAAACCGGTCGACATAGTTTCAAATTAGTTTGGTGTGTTCGTTGAACTTTTTTAGTTGGATATCTTCAAATTTCTTTAACATATATACGCATTTAAATTTTTCTTAAAAAAAATTCTCAATATAGTTCTAATATTTTGTGTTCGTCTTGCCGATATGCCTTCAAAATCCAAGAACATATTTGTACATCTTGAGGAAAATCCATTATTTACATATAATGTTTTGAAGAAACTTCAACAGTTGCATAATGACTTGTATGCCAACATTAAGATGCTATTTATGATTATGATCTTATTATGTATCTTGAATTTGAAAGCTATGCTTGTGATTCGACAACGCTAAAGATAGAAAATGCAATTTTTGTTTGCAACCGTCATAATTTCTACAGACTTGAGCACTTCGACCCCACTGATTTGAATGAATCTAGTACTTCTATATATATTTATTTTTAGTAATACCCAACAAACGTCCCCTAGATGTTTTCACCGTAGTACATCTATAGAATCGACTATGCGGCTTTTGCCGATTTCCACCCTATTTTAATCCCTAGGGAGTGGCTCATTAACACTCCGCTTATTTATCTTGCATTTTACATGAGGGGCGATTCTAACAAAGTTTTGTGGGAGGTAATTGGATTTAAGGGAGATTAGGAAAGCAAGCGTCTGATGAGCAACGATCTTTTTTACATCGACAAATCCAATTTTGCACCTCCTCAGGGTTATAACGAAGCTTCGACCAACACAATCATTTCGCGCGGTTAAGCGACCAGATTTTTGTTTATCTAAATAATTCGTTATAATATTTTCATTTATTTATTTTATATTCAAAATAACAAATTCGAGTCATTTAAAAGCCTTCCATAATGTATGAGTTCTAGAAATCTACATTACAAGTATTTAAAAACTAGGTGTAATAACGTTTTTTGAATTCAAAATTTGGGAAGAGCTGTAGCTTTATCAATTGGATAGATACACTTATTTATTACTAATTACATTGACTGATGTCTTTATAATATGAAAAAGATGTACCGAAGTCGAAAGAGTATTTTAAACGATTTAAAAGGCCAATTTGCCAAAATCAATGATATTTTATATTGTTGAAAAAAAGTTAAATTTTACAAGAAATTGTCGAATGTACAGAAAAATAAAAGTGTATTCTCCAGCGTGGAGTCTGCGGGCGTTTATTGCTTGTGGGTCGTCTATTTTATGAAACGGTGGCGAGGCCATGAGTGAGCAATAATGTATGGAAACACTCACTGTACAATATTGAATAATGAAAGGACGATGAAAAGAAAATAGAAGGGTCTGAATCAACATTGTGGAGATGAATGTGAGTGACTAGGCTAGGCTAAATTAAGAATGAGTCATATTATTTAAGAAGAAGTGAAGAAGTTACGCCATAAATAGGGAAAATGAAAAAGAACCGTAAGAAATCGGGTGGGGTATGTTGAAAGGGATTAGTAATGTGAAATGTTAAAACAAGTACAAGAGGGATTAGTGTAGAAGGACATAGAGATAGGCCAAAGAAGAAGTGGTAGAATATGATAAACAAAGAGATTTGTGCAATTAATTCAAAAATAATGACGGATTTAAAACTGAGGGGAAGGAAGAATATTTGGCTGGCCGACCCCATTTTTTATGGGTTAAGACGAATAACAACCAGGCGAGGATCTAAGAAGGAGGACAATGGCCCCGACAAATCCCCAAAAAAGAATTTCATACGTCCGTAGAGGCCTGTAGCCCTAAGGCTGCAGCTGATATAACCTAGTCATAAATGCAATTCTGCATTGCCCCCCTCCTAAGAATTTCTGGATCTACCCCTGAGAAGAATTTTGGTAAAGAAGGTTGTCAACAAATCTGAACACATATTTACGATAGACAAATACATGTGTTGAATTCATTTTTTAAAATTGTCCATATAATTAAAATGTATAGTATGTCAAATAAAGGTTATCGTTTTACATTTTCATTTAACGTTTAAACAACCAATTTGTATTGGTAGGCAATCAGTAATGTCAACTTTAGCATTGGCAATAGCTCAAACTCAATACCTATCCCTCGTACACTATTTGCCACTTTCGGAGACCAAAAAAACAGTTAAAAAAACATTTTGAATAAGCCTATTGTGCGCAGATGTACCGTCCACCGGCATGCATGTACTACACGTGTAAAAGGCAAGACGATGACTGTCAAGGAAATTATTATTATTATTATTTGTTATTACTATTGACATGCAAACCGGTCGTTTTGGTATAGATGTGATCGACTGCAGTAAAGTAGAAACAGTAGACTTAGGGTAAGAACTATGATAATATTTCCATGGAAACCAAAGGGGAGAGACTTCGCACTTTACGTGTATTTCATTGTTTATTACATACATGCGACTTTTATAAATTGCATTCGATTTATTTTAAACAATTTCGTACTAAAGCACCAAAGTGCGTAAAAACACGGTTTTAAAGAACCGACTACTAAAAAAATACCTACAATTTCTCGTACGAATACAATTAAATGTAGATACCTGTAAAATTATATACAAAAGAAAGAATAAAATAAGTTTTATCGTTCAAAACTTAATTTTTGATCTAACCGAACAGTCCTTTAAATATATTATTTTAACCTAACCTGTTCTAGAGTTTGTGATATTATTTAACTTCCCTTAAAGTTCTAGTATAGTCGATGCAAACGGCCAAACCTTTTGTTTTGAAATTTTCAAAACACGACTTGCCAATACTTTTCGTGTAATAATACAGATTTTAAAAATTTTAAATATTTGTAATACTTGAAATAAACCAATAAATATTGTTTGAATTTATCATCTTTTTCTTTTTGTCAAAATTTCGTATAATACTCTACTTAAAAGTGTAAAAAAAAAACATAATACATCTACCATAAATTAATTATAATAAATATTCAAAAATACTACTATTAATAAGACAATAATTTAATTATTGTTATTATTGGTGCCGTGAGGACACGATAATATAAACGATTAATAACTCACTGGAGCGAAAAGCGTGTCGCCGGTAATGGTGAAGATGAGGTAGCGGTGGAGGCGACGGCGTTGACGGCGGTGACGGCAACGACGTAGACGACGAAGGTGACGGTAAGGGGAGACGGAGACGACGCCGGCTGTGATGATGTCTCGGTCGGCGGCCGGCTTGATGCATGCTCGACGTCTGCACGGGCAGTGTACAAGCGGCTATTATTTTTGTTTTGTATTATTAATATTTTTAAAATAGCTGTCGGCTTTGTTGGGTTGTCGAATGAAGAATTAATACAAATTTTAATTTAAAAAATAAAAAATAAAATAGGTAACAATATATTTTATCAAATCATTTTTTTTTAAATTTTTTTTTATTGTGTGTTAATTATTTACTTTTAATCGGAAGAGACGGATAAGGCACTGGCGCACACCGTTAGTCGCACGCGGGAGAGACACGCGCGCGCGTCAATAACGTTCCGCCGGCGATCGCACACACATATCGACTGGGTCGTCGTCGGCCAACGTGAATCATGAGCGGGGAAATCGCCGTCGCCGCCGCCGTCGTCTCTTCTACCGCCTCGGCCGCTGCCGCCGCTATTGTACGTTACAAACGCAAGTAGGTATGTCGGCGGCCGACGCCGCCGCCTCCTCCGCCGTTTTTACCAATTATTGTATTGTAGACGGTCGCCGCCGCCGCCGCCGGTTTCATATAGATATACGTGCATACATACAATACGTATATAATAATAATATTGAGAATGAAAGACGGAAAGAGACAAGAAAAAAAAAAGAATAGAGGAAAAAAACTAATAGTATAAAGTATCGATTGATGCGGGAGTGACGTCACGTGCGAAACACGCTGCCCTAGCCGTACATAACATGTGTGTGTGTGTATGTGTATAAAGCGGGGAGGGTCGCCGGCATAGGACAGGGACTTCGTGGAGGGGGTGGCCCGCGGCGGAGACGAGCATGATATGAAATTCAATTTCAGTTAGTTATAATATACGACGTATGTGTGTGCGTGTGCATCATGTGTGTATAGGGGGCGAGGGAGGATAAGTTTGTGAGTTTCACGTTGTATGTGTGTGTGTGGACGTTTGTCACCCTCTGACTTATGTGTGCATGTGTGTGTGTGTGTGTGTGTGTGTGTGTGTGAACACCGCCCAGTTTTATGTTATTAAGATTATTGGTCGCCAACGGAGGGGTCGTCGTCACCGCCGTGGCCGGACCAGACGGGATGAAGGGACGGACGATCACGACCCCTCCACTACACTCCACTTGCTCCTCCACTCGTCGCGCACTAGTCGTCGTTGCATTTTTAGTCGCGCTCCGATCTATTCCTCTTGTTTTTAGTAGTACAGTGACCGACCGCGGAGGGTAAAATATGAAACTCTCCCTATCCTCCGCCAACAACCCTCCTCCCCCCACACACCCATGGACACTCAGCCACCCTCGAGACGATCGCCGTGGTCTCCCCCACGTACAGCGCGTTTACAATTTTTCGCCAATATCGCACAAAAACGAATGTTTCGTTTTTTCTGTTATTGATTTTTTTTTCTTTTATTTTTCCAAAAAAAAAAAAAAAAAACCCCAACAATGCGTCCCTACGCTATTCGTCTCCCCAACGCCACATTATCTCGTTACATGTATTATGTATACATGCATATATATGGTAATGAAGTAAACGTAATGCGAACGTACATAGGCGATCATTCCCAATGCGACCGTTCCCCTTTTTCTGAATTCTAGTCTTTTTACACAGTTATATAATATTATGTATATATTATTTAGACTCGATTTTCATCGCTATAAAATATAACTATAAAAAAAAAAAATACATTTACGTGTGCGTACGTTTAGCATCTCATCCACACACACACATATGCGATCGATAACGTTCATATTACAACAATAATAATAGTACAGCAGACGCGCGCCAATCGTTGGATTCGGCACGACGAGCAGATGTAATAATAATTATGAATGTAGAAAAAGTGCTACATTTGGTTTTTCTAATACAGATTTATGTTTGTTTGTAGTCAGATGTATGCATATGTATATATATATATATATATATTTTTTATCGTGAGAGATTCCAGTCTGAATTCAAAGGTACTTTTGTGTGAACAAAAATTAAAAAAGAAAAATGATTAATGTTAAACACCACGATTTGGTCCGTTTTTACAATATTTATTCTCTAATCCTTGTATAATCCGCTTTTCCGCCGGCTTAAATAAAAAATATTTATATACATTTATAACACCCATAAACATAACCAGCTTTGACGGCTGTGTGTGCCTTTTTTGAATTGACTTTAAAAAAAAATGTTTTTCGTTTTATATGTTAATAATAAACCGGCACGCATAAAAACAATTAGGACCGCACAATTTAATTAACCGCGCAGTCTTGTATTGCGTCGCGAAATTTGCATATTATATTTCATAGAATATAATTATATCTATTGGCAACGACCGCTATACTGCTCAATATAATTCACTCCGACTTGCGTTTATGTCGATTTTAAAAAAATAGTAAACATATATACATGCAAGCCGCATCGACCTAGTTTGACCCAAACCTAACCTAACAACGAAATTATTATTCTACACCGACTACATTACAATATTGTGAGACACAACAACACTAATAAGTACCGAAAATACTTACAAAAGTAGTTCAAAGGTCAGGACAGGTTAGGGCTGGGCTTGAACGAACCAAGTTAACACGTTGGCTTACCAATGGTGATGGTTTTTTATACGGTCCAAAAGACTAGCAAAACTGAACTCGACCAGTAACTAGTCAAACTAATAAAACAAATTCCAACAAAATAAATTGGACGTTACCTAGTAAATATTATAACTAGGCATTTTTTAATTTTAAAAATCTAAGTCATCTGATTGGATATGTATTTGAATCTGAATTATTACACAGTGAGGTTAGGTTACGTAAAGGTCATTAAACGTACTCTCGCACGCAAAAACAAAATAATAACATAAATTTAAGATAAATAAAAGACAAAGTATTTTTTTACTCTGTTTCGTATTCAGAAGAGAAAAGTTTAAAGGTGTTTTTAAAAATTATAAAATTGTATAAAACATCAAAAACAAATTAAATAGAATTTTTTTTGCACTTACAAGTTGATAACAAGTGGAATTTAGTATTGTTTAAAGCGTTCTTAATTTTGAGAGCATGAGCTGCACTTGGAAGATTTGATGAAATAAAATGCGTACAGACAACAACAAAAAAAAACATCAAATCAACACCACGTTAATATATTTTATCTTCGCGACAAATATAATACCAAAAAAACATAAATATTTGTATTCAAATTAGGACATATAGGACAAATATCGGACTTACAAAATCGATATTCCTGAATTAATTATTTAATTTTTTTCTAAGAAAACTATTTCTTTTCCCGTAATTATTGTGAACTACAAAGAAAATACACTAAGTTATCCGTAAAGACACATCAATTATTAACGGAAATAATGATGCAGTGGACTACGGTCATACGGTCACCCTTATCGAGATAACAAGGGTAGACGGAAATTGTCATAAGGGTCGTTTAAGACCAACATATTGTACAAACACAGTATTTATGTGGATCTTAAGAAATAATGAGACCGGGGAATACGGCCAAAATCGCCGTACTCCACATTCAAGTATTGTTAAAACAATAGAAGTTCTATACAAAGGACTTGTTGCTTAATTTATTGGTCTCAAGTGTAGTACAGACATAACGGCTGTCTAGATATTGTTATTTATAATTACACAGGTAATGTAAACCACCACAAACTATAATAAACGACGAGTTAACGCATAAAATAACAAATAATAAACAATGTCACGGTTTAATGAAAATTCTGTACAGGGAAGAAGTGACCGCTTTATACAATAATACATTTTATGTCTTTCTTTGGAAAATTTGTATTTTCAACCAATATTATTGTTATACGTTGTACCAAACATATAAGGTACTATAACCATAAGTCACTAATGAGGCTTTTTCGGTACATTAATTATATTATTTTCTACCGGTAACGAACTAGGGCTGAAGACAAATATTTTGCTTATAAAATATTTAAGAAATTCCTTAGCAAAAAGTAATGCAATATAGTATAATGACATTTCATAGAAGTTTCTTTGTGAAATGTTGTTTCGTTTAATTACTCGACACTGCGACAATTTTCCATTTTCTACTAAAATATACAATAAACAAAATATGCCAGAATTTATAAGAAACTCGAAAAATACCACGCTTTGGTATTCTGAAAATTTCGAAATGACTTTGCAGTCATCGAAGGTTTGGCACTGAATGAATGCGACTGAAAAACATTCATTAGAGACGGCCAAAGAAATTTAATTTTATTCCACGAATAAATGTATGAAAATTAAAGATATCAGAGCGGGGCAGATAGGGGGGGGGGTGTCGAGGCTGTGACTCAGTTAATATTTTTGGCATGTATTTTACAGACGATTGGTTTAGGTTGTACCTTTTAAAAAAGTCAATTTTACAATAATATTACCGGTTGTGTTGTTTTGTATTTGGCGCCAATAAGTTGATAACTAGGAGGCACTGAGAACATCAAGTATAATATATATGTATAAAAAATTAGATTGTTAACTATCAAATGTCTGTAAGCCTAATCCCACTTAAGCCACCGTCTAGTTAGATATATGGGCCCTGTCGTCTACTCTTATCAATTATATTCCGGGCAATATAATAATGTATATTTGTTTTTTAACTCAATCCACACGCATAAGTACACAATAGTATACTATATATTTTATGCAACCATTTTTTATCAAATTGTAAAACAATTAAAATGTCCCCCAAAAAAATGGAAACGTCGATCGATAAAACATAAGGTTACTTTCAAGAAAAAGTTGTCACACGTGTATATTATACTAGGAAGTAATCTGCTAAGGTGAGCCATCAGTTCTACATTGTCAAGTTTACCCGTGTGATATTATTGAAACGGCAACAATAATATTATAAATCCGTTATTTATGAATCCGTTATCTTATAATATCACAGTGCAAGATTGTTTTTGAATTATTAATTTTATGTTATTATCACTATTTAAATTTTAAAAAAATTATCATTTTTATTAGAATAAAAGAAAAGAAAAAGCCGTAAAACCTAAGAAAAATAAATGTTTACCGCAACTTGCCTTGGCTGAAATTTAGTATATATAATGTTTTTATCAGGTGGTCAATATATACTTAGGATATTACTAAATGGAATATATACTAAGAGATAAACTACTTAAATTGTATAAAATCTATGTCTTTAATTAAACCTTCCTTATCCTTCAACACCGGGAAAGGAAATTTTTTGAATTACTTGAGTAATTCTTAGTTTACAATTTATTAGTCATTTAAATGTCATTAATTGTAGTTTTCAATTTAATAGTCATTTAAACGTATTAAATTTGTTATTTATAATATTTTCAATTACAAATTACTTTTTCAAAACATAC